TCGAGCACTTCTTCTCCATCTCCTTATAGATGGCCTCCACCTTGGCCTTGGCGGCTGCGACGGCATCCTTCTCGCCGGAGATGATAATCTCATCCTTTTGCACCTGCTGCGGCGGCACGTTGATCTTGGCGCCCGTCTCCTCCTGCAGCTTGTTAAGGTTCTCGCTGTAGGGACCCACGATGAACGGATGGTAGATCTTGGGCACGGTGGTGCGGTCCGACGACTTCTTGTACTGCTCGGCGGACAGCTGGCGGATCTCCTGCTCGGCCTGAGCAATACCCTCCTTGGTGCCGGCAATGGTGATGAACTCGCTCTCGTCGCCCTGGCTGGGGATGTTGATGCGCGTGGAAGTGAGGCGCTCCAGATCACGCAGCCGCTGACCACCCTTGCCGAGGATGACGCGGTAGTGCTCCCGCGGAACGGTCACCTGCCTGCTGGCCTGCGTCGAGAAGCCCATCAGGATCTTGCGACGAGCGTCGAGCAGCTCGCTCTGCTTGCCCTTGATCAGGAAAGTAAGCGACTGGTTCTTGCCGCTCACAATCTCGATCTGGGCGCCCGTCTCCTTAGTGATCTGCTGGCAAATCCTCTTCGACTCGCCTTCGCCGAACTCCGACTCCGTGGACTTGCGCTCCTCGCAGGGAACATGCAAAACCTGAGGGGTAAATCGGATTAATTAAAAAGTTAACACTATAAAAGCTACAACTTGATAAAAACTCTGGGGATTCGTTTATATCTCTTTAAGTTTTGAAGTTAATTTTTGACATTTAATTAATTATTACACTAATGCAACACTTTTTTGACCTTACCTGCGTCTTCTGGGAGCTCGTCACACGGGCTAACGTCGAGCTGGAAGCTCCGGATTGCGACGGCGCCGAGGTGTTGGCCGGCAGAGCCGGGAACAGGTCGTCGTAACTGAAGGCGGGAGTGGCGTTACCAGTGCCGCCGCTAGTGGTGCTAGTGGGCGTGGCCACCGAAGTGGGCGAGGATGGTTGCTGCTCGTTGGACACCTGCTCTTGGCCATTGATGAGGGCGATGGGCTGCTCGATGGTAGTTGCTGCAAAATAATTTTGGATTACGAATTAATTAGTTATGATCGGATACTTAATCGTGAAACACTCACCGTTGTTAGTTTCCTCCATCACTGCTGCTGCTTGCATTACTTAAAAAAAGAGAAGAGTCCTTTTTCGTTCCAAGTCGTTTACAGTACACTTAAAAGAGAGAGTTTGAGATATCTTATCAAACAGTTTGCAAAACTATTACAACCTAGGGGACCTATCAAAGAACCCTGTTTATCAGCCGGCGACAAAGCCAGCTGTTAGTGACTAAAAATCATGACGGAACTACATAGTTAAAATGACTTTTTTCGGCAAACACAGATTTCATGCCGCCGGTTCTACTACGGTTTAAATCTCTTCCTGTTGTCGATCGCCCACAAACCTACCAAACTCACTGGAAGTTGATAAGTGCGACCCCCGAAGACCCGCATGTGGCTGCCATTAGCTGATAAGAAACTACAGACGTTAATAGTGGCTGCATGGTCACAGTCAACATATTAGTACTAATATTCATTGGATATGCTGCGTGACGTTAGTAAGGTAAGTTTAATAAAAACTTATTTGCTCTACTAAAAACAATTTAAAGAATATGAGTAGTTCAAAATATGTATATAAACCATGAAAGATTAAATACCGATAAAAACACCTAGTAAGCCACGTTTATTGCTTCAAATAGATAACAAATTAAAAAGAGATATTTCCCAATTAACTGTGCTAAGGCTTAAAAAAGTAAACTTGTATGCCCTTCTTAATCATTACTTTCTAAAAATTAATGAAAGTACAATAAAAATTATTACCTATTTAAGTAATTTCATTAATATTTTATAATACTTATTAACCAGCTGAACATTAAATTTCTTTCCGTTTTTGGTTTGATTGCCCGGATTGGTGGAAAGCATAACAAATTTAGGAAACCTAATTTCGTGGGCCGCTACTGTCTGCAGTGCGTGTCCGAAGGGGGTGCGTCAAATGGATTTTCTGACGCTGATAAACCGAAATAGATTCGGTTTCCAGACGGACTTTCAGCACGAGAGCCCGAAACTAAGGCCACGTAGTGCTTGGATCGGCGAGATGAGTGCCCCGGCTCCGCTTTTCGCTGGTGATAAGTGGTCGCGGCAGTGGGCCACGCAGGCAGATTCCTGAGTCGAGTGATAGCTATCGGCCGCACTGGCTGATAAGCCCCATCGTCCGATCGCCCCCAAGATATCGGGGTTCGCCACATACACGGTGGCAATACAATATGTGCAGGTCCAGAAATAAAAACTGCTATCAGTAATCGGATTTCGATCGGGTGAAAGGTTGGGGACAGGCGAAAGAGAACCAGAGAGGAAGATCTTAGCGGACAAGAAGGAGAAGAGACCATGCACTTGTTCGACCAATGCTGTTTTCTCAATCAATGCCCAACGAGTTTTCGTAGCCTACATTTTTCCTCTCCACCGAAAGAACAACAAAGATATGGCTGCCTCTATTGCCACTGTCAATGTGTGTGTAAGCAGAGACAGATGCAGGGGATTTCAAAAGGGGATTTATTAACTGAGAAATACAAATCATGGTGAAACTATTTGATAGCGATTTTTAGATACAAGAAGAACTAAACAAATTAAAAGTAATTAAAATAGAGAAAACCCTTTATGTTTCAAAACCGAAATAAAATTCGAGTACAGTTTTGGAGTACCTAGAACAAAACTAATAGAAACAGATTTCGTGGCGTAAATATATTTTTTAGCGTTCATAACATTTCAACAATAACTGGTATATTTAACCATTCTACCTCAGAGGAGTTTGACCCCCAAATTTCCCCTGCCTACGCCCTTGTGGGTGGGCATGAAAAATGTGTCAAAAGAAGAGGCAAGAGCGGGAGAGCGAGATAGGGAGAGAGCGAGAGCTTGACGAAGTAACTTAACGGAGCAGGGGAGCAGCTCCATATAAAACCGGATGATAGCCGGCAACTACAACAAAACGATCGAGTGCTATTGTGTATGTGTGTGTGCCTGCACATTTCTGTGTCGCTCTTTTTCTTCGGGCATATGGTTGTATGTGTGTTGGCACCTTTCGAGAAGGCACAGGTAAAAAACGAAAACAAGCAACATACCTACATAGCAAATACCATCAGACATACGTTCGTATGTGACGCCTGCAGCGACGCTGACGTCGACAAATGAAGACAAAGCACAAAAACAATGCGCTAAAGTTCAGCTTACAAAAAAATATACAAAATTGGTATGCACATATCGGATGGATTCTTGTTTTTGTAATTTCGATACAAAGATCCAAAAAATCAAAAAGAAAACCTCAACGTAGGCAGTTTTAGGCATGGAACCGTTAACTTGGGCTTTTTTTTTTTTTTGGTAAAAACACTTGTGTAAAATGTTAAACTATGCAAATTAACCCTAGATTGTAGGTTGTTCAACTTACGGTACTGTAAAATCCAAAAAATCCGGCCTAGTTTACTCTCCTTTGACCAAATCCAGTTTGATAACTTGGGTGTCTGCTGGAAAACCCGAAAAACAATTGGTTGGAATTAATGCAATTAGTGGATGCAGAAGATCGTTGGCATCGCCAGGATGCCCTACACTGCAATTCGTCGGTCATTCTGCATTCTGCACATCCCCAATAGAAAGTCGGTTATTTATCATAGAAGCGAGCGAAGGGTGAAGAGAGGGCAACATATGCGGGCCACTTATTGGACAATTGTTTTTGTGGCAGCGGCGGCAGCAAAGTGGAGCAGCGCGTGGGCGTATGTATGTGTGTGGTGTGTATGAGAGTATGGAAATGCGGAAATCAGTGCCGTATGTTTGCCAGGTGAAAGGTTGTGTGGATCCTCTTTTCCGGCACAGGGCGGGGCCTTCACTTCTCCGCCGCCCCCGGAAAGTAAGAAAGTTAAAAAAAAAACAGCACGCGCGCCTTCCAATCGGACAAATATGCTTATATATGCACGCACACACATATGCAGGGATTTTACGGCCCCTTAGTGTATGTGTGAACGACGTCGCCGCCTTTGGTGACTGTGTGTGTGAGCGCGAGTGCGCCGCCCGTGAGTATTATCAACCATTGAAAAACACGTTGTTTTTCGCCAAGCGGACACAAATTTTAGGAAAATTAGCGGCCCGAATTCGTATTTTCTTTCCGCTGCTGCTGCATTTGCTGCTTCTTTTCCGCTCTGCCGTCGCCGCCCCGTCACTGCCGGCCCTTTATAACTGTAAATTCCGTGCACTCTTCCGCCCGCCGTAACTTATGCAATTCCGGCTGCAATAAAGCCGCACGGCGATCGGCCAAATGGCAGTTGAGTTTTCGCACTTTAAACCGTCAAATTCACACCCAGACTTTCTATTGAAATTGCAGAACACACGGACGCGGAACTCAACGTTACCGACTCCAAGTAAAATGTGAATGAACATGAGCGAACGTGGCAAATAGAGATGGTCGATAGCCGCTGCAGACGTAGGGTTGCCGCGGTTTGCAAAGAACTATCAAAGAACTATCGGTGGTTGATGGAAATACCGATGCCGGCTTTTGGGGATAAACAAAAACTTTTTTTTTTTTTTTAATATAACACGCATTCTAGACCAGATACATATTTAGTATAATAAAACAAGTTACAACTTTAAATAGTTTTTCAGTGTAAAGCTGGTCGTACCTTTTTTTACTTTCATAAATTTCAAAATTAAATTTCTGCTTAAGTGTAAAATTATTTACAGGGTAACAAGGCATTACATATTATCCGCTTTGAATAGGACTAGAAGGTTTTGTATCTTGGTAGTTAATTCAAAATGTATTTTAAATATATGTACAATTTTTTTAAAAGTTTCAAATTCTAGAACTATAATAATGTTTTAAAAAGCAAAACAAGCCATTTTATTCTTACAATCAAAACTATTTTTTATAACGGCAATTAAAAAACATTCGATTAGCCTGGCGCCACTATCGGCGGGATTATCGATAGTCAGTTCCATCCTTGGGCTGCCACCACCGAATCGCTAATAATCACAAAGAAAACTCCCCAATCTGTGGAATTTCCGGAGACAAAAGCACATTCATCGCGGTAAATTATCAGAAAGACAGCATGTCGAAGCTCAGGAACATGTTGCCTACAATCTTTGGCGGGAAGGAGCCACAGAGTCAGGAAGAAGAAGGGTGCCTTGAAAAGGATGCAGCGCCCGTAGACGACAGTGAACCAGATAACAATAACAGCGGAGCCCTGGCTCTGTCCGTTTCTAACGGAACTCCCACTGCATCGGCGGATCTTACTGAATCAGTACTCCGCGAGCTCAGCGATCCCAACTACAATTCCATGGATGTTGTTCAGTCCGCCAATATTCCGGGAGCCCTAAGCAACACCCAAACCAACAACACAATGAATGTTCACAGCGCCCAGCAACAGGTGGTTATGAACTTCTCGAATGCCAACAATCTGCATTTCGGCTCTGTTTACAACTTCAATCAGAACTTGAGTGCGTGTAGTTCCCGAAAGGGCAGCACGAGTGCCACGGAGGAGGCGCTCGCTTCGCCGGACGGCAAGCCTCGGTCCAATATCGCCCGTAAAACAGTTAGCATTGTGGCCATGATGCAGTCGCAGGAGGAGCCCGATGTACGCCTGCTTGATGCTGTGTCCACCCACTTAGGCGAAGGCTGGAAGCAGGTGATGCGGGATCTCGGACAATCAGAAGGGCAAATTGATCAGGCAATCATCGATCATCAAATGCATGGAAATATCAAAGAGGTGAGACTCGAGATTCTGAAATTAATAAGTTGCAGCTTGAAAATAATTTTTTTAATTATTTTGTTTAAGCGATATTCTGTTATAACTGTATAAATCTCTTTAAAACTCATAAATAACTTGCTAAAGCTTTTTTGTAAGAAATTCGTATAGTAAAGTATAAAATACATATGTGACTCATTAGTTAAAATTCAGATTCTAACTCTCATTACTAAAATGTCGCTATCACTCTTAAATCCTTCTGTTTAGAAATTTTTAAGCTAGTTTGTAAAGTTGACATAAAATCTCAATCATAAATGGAAAGACCTTAAAGTACAGCCTTTTGCCTTTCAAAGGTTGGTTTAAAAGCTATAATGTTGAGGTAAGCCTTAATTTAACCTACATACTTAAAACTATCTTAGTTAAATGGTTTTTATTTTTTTGTTATTAAGGTCTTGAATTACTGATACTACCGCCGTTAAATACAAGATTACATGTATAGGGAAGATTAGATTGCAGTCTGGCAGATACGAAAATTACATCTACGTTTTATTGGGGTTCACTTAGGCGAACCTTTAGTACCTATCATAATCGTAATCAATATTATTATCATACCAATGTTCCTGATTTTAATTTTAAAAAACTTTGAAAAAATGACTGAAACCGGTAAATTAACACATTCTTTGCCTCTTCAGGTGATTTACCAGCTGCTGCTTCAATGGGTTCGAAGCTCGGAGAACGGGGTGGCCACCGTCGGACGACTCACTACGCTGCTGTGGGAGTCCCAGCATCGCGATTGCGTGCATCGCATGAAACTGGTTTGGAAGGCACTGGAGAAGCGCAAGACGAACAGCTAGTCAGTGGATGGGACTCATTAGCAACGATTCCATAACGAAAACGATGCATTCGGAGCAGCCTCTCGATGGTCATGCTTGTGGGAGGAAGCGTATTGGGAAGGCTAGCAATACCGACGTTTGAAAGACGCACAACGTCCAATGTGTGACGGTATCGAGCGGTATAGAGAGGAGACCATCAGGCAATATGTGTGCAATATTTGTTTTATAAATCCAAACCTTCGAATAAGTGCCTAGATGTTTGCATTAACTATTCTTACACCAGTTTTATCCTTAAGATGTGATATTTGTGTCGAAAACGGAACCAACACTTGATGTTTACATTGAGAATATTTTTTGTAAAGTGTAAACAAATAGAAGCTTTATTGTTACGTAACTACAAACAATCTCATTAATAACATTAAAGCTTGGGTACAAAGTCACACAATCTTCGTGATTTTCGAGCTGAACATGTCGATCAACATTTGAGCGCCGTTGCCGTTGAGCGATTGGTAGTTTGGCTGTTTGGACATCCTGTCTAACCAGCCGCTCAGCTTGGGATAGCGCTTGTCTTCGATGGGAGCCAAGCCCACCAGGCTGGACACCGATGAAACCATACTGTAGTCGGCGATGGTAATGGCGGTTCCACACAGATACGGCTGATTTCCGATGAACACCTCCAGAAAGTCGTATGCCTCGTAGATGGCTTCGATCTTGGAGCGCGGAACCTCCGTTTCGTTTTTGTAGAACAAGGGAGCGGCAATATTCCGGATGCAGCCCTGGAACAACACGCCCGACTCAAAGTGCAGTCGCTGATCGACAAGAGCGCGCTTGAAGTAATCCTTGGGATACAGGGCATCATCCTTGGCATATCGCCTAACCAGGTAGGCGCAAATGGCATGGCTTTCCCAAATGTACTTGCCATCGTCCTCCAGCATGGGCACCGTGTGCTGTGGATTCTTCAGGGTGTACTCCTTTGATTTGTTTTCCCCCCGCCAGCAGGTTCACCAGCTTGTACTCGTACTGTAGACCCAGGGCATCCAAGGTCAGTTTGCATGCCCGCACCGGCGGACTTGGCTCCACACCGTACAGTACTAATTTTCCCATTGTTTTAAGTAGACCGCTTGCTCCGGCTGCCGATTAGAAACTAAACAAGCTTCACCTATCGCTGTTCACGATCGATTCAACTGATTCCATATGTTTTTACACCTCACTTGGTAATTCAAAGCTTTTTCATATATGCTAGCAGAGGCAATTAGTTTTATATTGATTTGAGTAACTTTTATTGCTTAATGCATATCTCCAAAATCCAAAATCGTCAGTAGTCTTTGATAAAGTAACAGATTTTGATAGACAATTCATTGGCTTTAATCAACTTGTTGAACTAAAGCCCTCAAAAAGTTGTCAGGTGTTTTGATTATAGTATATGCCTTATCATATCTTTTTCTGATACTTGGTTACGACATTTTTCATTTTGTTTTTTTCATTTTGGGAATGTTAAATATCAAAAATGTTATTTAAAAAAAAACTGGTATCTGGACAATTAAATTAGGTTTCTGATTCATGTATCGTTTTTTTTTTTTTTGGTGGAAAATAGCTTCTTCCATTTTATAAATGTCAGATAGTAATATTAAAATTCTTATCATATCTATTATTTTAAGTGGAAAATTCCATATTGATGTTGATATTTTAAAGATTCTATGGTGCTTGCAAAAATCAATAATAAACCGTTTTTTTTTTTGATTAAAATGCAATTTAACAAATTAAGTATACCCTTTCACTCTACGAGTAGCAGGTATAAAATCTTTGCACATGCTTTATAATGTATTTTGATTATTTTTTTAAAAGTGAGAAAATCACTAAGATGAGAAGGTAAAATTAAACTTCTCTAGAAGGGTGACCAACTCTCGGGCACCTTTGCCATTTGCCTCCTCGAAGTAAGGAAGTTCTTCTAGCGTCTTATGCCATTCTGTGATTTTGAAATACTTAATCGGATCGATTTTTACAAATACCGCTAGCGCGGTAATCGATGTGAGGAGACTAAAATCCGCAATTGTCAACTGATTTCCAGCAATATAATCGTGCCCGTTGAGGAAGGTCTCCACGAAGTCGTAGATTTCTTTGACGACATCGTAACGTTCCTTGGGGATTGTAGTCTGGCCAGAGGCGAAAAGTGGCTTTGTGATGCTTCTCAGTCCGTACATAAAAACCACTCCGGATTCGAAGTGCAATCGCTGATCCACCACAGCCCGTTGAAGAAGATCCTTCGGATAGAGGCTGTCGCTCTTGCCGTACTTGGACACCAGATAGGCACTGATTGCATGCGAGTCCCAGATGAAGTGGCCATTGTCCTCCAGGGTGGGCACCGTGTGCTGGGGATTCTTCTTCAGGAACTCCGGGGAAAGAGTCTCCTTGGCCAGGGTGTTTATTTTTACGTATTCGTAAGGAACCGCAAGGGCGGCCAAGGTCAGTTTGACAGCCCGAACCGGAGGACTTGCCTCCGTTCCATACAGAATCAACTTGGACATTTTGCATCTAAGAGGTTTCCTCTATAACTGAACGTTCGGGGCGATGAGCCAAAATATTTATTGGATTTTGAAAGAGAATGCTTAAGAGACCGTTCACAACGAAAGAGATTAAAAAAGAGTTGAGAAGTGGTTCTCTTTCAAAATCGTATATTTATTTGTTAATATAGATTTTCTTGATTGTTGGTAATAAAAAAGTTCTTTATAATTTTACCTTTGCTTACAATATTTTGAATATTTGTTTTAATGGATTAAAATTTAAATTAGGTTTATTTTCACAACTGTTAAGTTATTGTAATATGATTTTAGAATTTATTATTTATATTTTAATTTCTAGTTAGTAGAAGTTAATAGTTCGCAGGAGAAAATTAAGAAATGTTCTATGATACGAATTCGAAGTCAATATTCTTGATGAAGCCCTCCAAGATTTTGGCTCCTTTGCCGTTGGCTTCCTCGTAGTAGGGAAGTTTCTGAAGTCGCTTGATCCAGGCACTGACCTTGGGGTATTTGGCTGAGTCCAACTTTACCAAGGAATCCAAGGAGGTCGTAGTCGAGACGATGCTAAAGTCAGCAATGGTCAGCTGGGATCCAGCAATGTATTCGTTGCCAGCAAGAAAGGTCTCTAGAAAGTCATAGACCTCTATGATCGCATCGTAACGCTCTTTGGAAAAATCTGTTTTGCCGGCAAAAAGTGGCCTGACTATGCTCCTAAGGCCATTGGCAAACATCACTCCGGACTCGAAATGCAAACGCTGATCCACCACAGCTCGCTGGAGGAGATCCTTCGGGTAGAGGCTGTCATTCTTGCCGTATTTCGACACCAGATAGGCAATGATCGCGTGGGAGTCCCATATGTAGTGTCCGTCGTCCTCCAAGGTGGGCACCGTGTGCTGGGGGTTCTTCTTCAGAAACTCCTCGGAGAGGTTCTCCTTGGCCCGAGTGTTCACCTCCACGAATTCGTAGGGCAGTTCCAAAGCAGCCAAAGTCAATTTCACGGTACGAACTGGCGGACTTGCATCCAAACCATACAGCACCAATTTTGTCATCTTGTTGAGGTGAAATTAGTTTTATAACTGATCGTACAGAGCAGAGAAACCGAGTATATATAGGATTTTGATACGGAAAGAGAGCGGAAGATAAGAAAACTGCTGATAATTAGGTTTTCTCTTCGGCTTTTCAAAGCGTTTGTTATTTAAAAATAATAGTGAAATAGTCGAATAAAAACAATACAAAAACAAAACACTTATTCCAGTTAATTATTGTAAGAATGAGAAATTAGTCTTTTTAACGTGGAACTCGAAAAGTCGGGATCCTTGGCCGTTCGCCTCCTCGTAATAGGGGAGCTGTTCCAGTCTTTTGATCCAGGCAGTGACCTTTGGGTATTTCGCCGTGTCCAGTTCCACAAAGGTCTGCAAGGAACTCACACTCGAGATGATACTAAAGTCAGCAATGGTCAGCTGGTCACCAGCAATGTAGTTGTTTCCAGCAAGGAAGGTTTCCACAAAGTCGTACACCTCTATGATCGCATCGTAGCGCTCTTTTGGAATGTTTTTCCTTCCATGTAGGAATAGTGGCTTAGTTATGCTTATTAGTGCATTTGCATAGACCACTCCGGATTCGAAGTGCAATCGCTGATCCACAACAGCCCGCTGGAGGAGGTCTTTTGGGTAGAGGCTGTCGTCCTTTCCATACTTGGATACCAAATAGGCACTGATTGCATGTGAGTCCCAGATGAAGTGGCCATCGTCATCCAACGTGGGCACCGTGTGCTGGGGATTCTTCTTCCGAAACTCTTCTGAGAGGTTCTCCCTATTGATGGTGTTCACTTCCACGAATTCATAGGGCACTCCCAAGGCAGCCAAAGTCAGTTTGGCGGTTCGAACTGGCGGACTTCCTTCGAAACCATATAAAACTAACTTGCCCATCTTGTCGCTTTGGAGTGTCTCCTATGACTAGTAATGCAGACAGCAAAAACCTTGTATTTATTGGATTGTTTTTAAGAGACTTATTAAGAGAATTATTTGACCAGGAAAACACCTGGTATATATCATTGTTCTCTTTCTACAGTCATTATTACTTGCTTGTTTGAAACCATTTATTTCACCACAATAAATACTACTAGAGATCTTCAAACAAATATCCAGAACGTTCTGCTTAAATTCGAAACATATTTTGTAACATTTTACCAAAACATTTTTGAAACCAATTTAAAAGCTGTAGTACCTATGTTGAATTAAGAAATTGGTTTAATATTAACCAACTTATAAATGTTATACATAGATAGATGTGAAAAAACCCATTTATTTAACTTAATGTTGTTGAATTGATATATTATTAAAAATCATTTTTTTACTAATTATTTATTTAAAATTGTTTAAATATGATATGATTATTTATACTATTCAAAATCATGCTGTCGCTTATGTTTTTTATCTATAAAGGTGAGTTACATAACTTGCTTTGAAAAAGAAATTGGTTGAATGGTTTGAAGCAAATAACTTGTTTTTCAGTATTATATTGAATTCTCAAAAATAATAAGAATAACCAGTTTTACAGCACGACTCGATGAAAGTTTTCTTTCTCTTCTATAATTTTAGTGAAAATATTTTTTTTTTAAAGAAAAAGTTTTTTTTTATTAATAATAAAGGGTAATATGCTACTTAGGTTATGCAGTTTTCACTGAATATTATTATTCCAGTAGGTAAGAGATTTAAATTAAATGAAAACGCCATTATATAGATTGTTTTATCGGTATGTATTTTAAAATTGTCAATTTCAACGTAAAACTTAGGTTTCAAAAGTAAAATTCTTGGATTTGAAAATGGCAACCAACTGGCGCGTACCCTTTCCATTGGCTTCCTCGTAGTAAGGCAGTTTCTCCAGCTTTTTGATCCAAGCGGTAATTCCGGGATATTTGACTGGATCGATGTCCACGAAAGCCACTAGAGAAGTCACAGTTGAGACGATACTGAAATCAGCAATGGTCAGTTGATTTCCTGCGATGTATTCCTGTCCCTTCAGGAAGGTCTCCACAAAGTCGTAGACTTCGATGACGGCATCGTAACGCTCCTTGGGAAGTGTAGTCTGGCCAAGGAAGAGAACCGCCTTGGAAATGGGTCTGAGTGAATTGGCAAACACTACTCCGCTCTCGAAGTGTAATCGCTGATCAATTTTAGCTCGCTGGAGAGGATCCTTTGGATACAGGGCATCGGTATCTCCATACTTGGACACCAGATAGGCAATGATTGCGTGCGAATCCCAGATGAAGTTGCCATCGTCATCCAAAGTGGGCACCGTGTGCTGCGGGTTCTTCTCCAGGTATTCAGATGAAAGGTGTTCCCTCGCCAAGAGGTTTACGTTTACATATTCGTATGGCAGATTCAGAGCGGCCAAAGTGAGTTTCACCGCACGAACAGGTGGACTGGGATCCAAGCCATACAAAGTCAACTTAACCATCTTGTCGCCTTGGGGTCTTTTTCACAACTGATCGGGGAAATCGGACAGTCTGCTTGTTTATAAGACTTTCGGATTTTTAAAAGAGCGTGTTTAAGAGAGATTTTTCTTCGTTGCTAACTTTTCAGATGGAACCTAGCACGTTTTTGTTTGATTTTTACATGCAAACAGTATCCGCTTTATGGCCTGATATGTAAGTAACAAGAAAGAAAGCTAGCTTATCCAAACCGAAGATTTAATACCCTTGGAGTAAGAACTCAACTTATCACAACTCACAAGTAACAAGATTTGCCCTAGTTTAAATACGTTGCTTAGAACGATAAAGCTTACGATATAGTACTTCTTTAATATTGCCTAATTTTTAAAGAAGCTATATATGTAATATAGTGAATTAAAATTAATTTTTAAGATTTAGTATTGTAACGAATTGCTTAATGACAATCAACGCATGAATGTTTAACAATATCGAAGCTTTAGAGTTAAAATATTATATAATATTTTTTAAAATAATCGAATCAAACGAACTTTTTTTTGGTATTTTATACCACTTGATATTATCAACCTATCCCAACATCTAAGATCTGATTATGAAACCGGTAAAAAAAGCTTTTCAAAAGAGCATCACATAGCACTCAGTGAATCATAGACATTCATAGCTCTATTAAATAGAGCTCTATTAATAGAGTCTATTTGATAACTGCTTATCAAGTTTGTTTGTCACCCAACAAGTATTATACTCTATATAAATAGAGACAATCAGTAGAGAGCTAAAAACTAAAAGTCATGCTGACAGAGGTGAACGAATGGATAGATCTCGAAATGTTTGATGAAAAAATGTATACACACAAACATGTTTCTATGGTGAAATTCTCTTAAAACTGATAAGAAAACTTACACTCAAATATGCGGTTCACTCTTTTTTAGTAGACGATACACCTGATATTTGTTGACTTTTTCTATTAACTAAAATATTGACTTGTAGACTTTTTTTTTTATAATCGTAGCTTAATCACTTAATTGTTTATTATTATGTTGTCAATCAGAGTTTAAAAACAATGAACCAATGTTATTGAATTTATAATGTTGAAGTGTTCTCACTAATAATATTACATGTACTCGAGAGGGGCCTAGTTTTTTAATTTCTATTTGTTTTCAAGCAAAATTCTTTATAAGCTGTTGTGCAATAATGTGATATGGTCAAAAAGTTCGTCGAACCTTTATCAGAGTTGTTTAAAAGCTCTATAGTTAAACAACCTTGGAGCAACATTTGAGTCACACAGATAATTCTTGGCCGACTGTTGATAACAGCTTATCAAGTTTGTTTGCCGGGAAATAAGTAAACAAGTTGCGGACCTCGAAGGGATGATATATTAAAAGTCATGCTTATTGTTTTAAAATTGTTATTGAATATGGTTGCTGACCGTCTATAATGAGTATATAGTTTTTCTTATCATTTGTAATGTACACTATATTGTTATCTGATACTTAAGTCTTGTCATGGTGCTTTTAATGATCACGTGCACGTATAGAAAAACATGCTATATAAGTTTGATTTAGAAAGATATAGTTTTTTATAGCTTTCGGTGGTATTGGGTTTTTTGTTTTACTTTAGTTTAGTTAAAACAATAATTTTAAGGGTGTGCACTGATTTATTGATTTCTAAATTTTAATTTATAAAACAAAGTTTTTTATTTATTAATAAGTTTAGCATTCAAAAGAACCAAAATTAACCGCAAAAAAACTACACAGAATGCTATAATTATTTGGACGAAAAATAAATTCTACATTTCGGTAAAATATTTTAATTGCTTTTTTTTGCCAATAGTAAACATTTTATTTACAAATTATAACGACTTTAAAAATCTTAAACCAAATACTTTTTAAGTAAATGAATCTAATATAACTAGTAACAAACGAGGACTCCTCAAAATTATAAAGCCAACTAGTGCAACTGGAACGTTCTGGGAGTTCCCTTTTTCTTTAGGGAACGATGGTGAAATTCTTGGACCTCAAAAGGTCCACATACTGGGTGGCTCCGTTGCCGTTGGCCTCCTCGTAGTAGGGCAACTCCTTGAGCCTCTCCAGCCAGGCGGCAATCCTGGGATACCTGGCCGGATCCATCTCCAGGAAAACCCCAATCGAGGTGATGGTCGACACAATACTGAAGTCAGCGATGGTCAGATGGTCACCGGCCAAGTAATCGTGGTCATCGAGAAAGGTCTCCAGAAAGTCGTAGATCTGGTTGATGTGATCAACCTGATTCCGTGGCAAGGTGGACTCTCCGTTGAAGAGAACCGGACGAGTGAGTCTCCTCAAAGCAGCCTCGAAAACGACTCCCGACTCAAAGTGCATCAGTTGGTCCACTTTGGCTCGCTGCAGCAGATCCTTGGGATACAACTCATCAGAGGAGGCATACTTCTCCACCAAATAGGCCATGATGGCGTGCGAGTCCCAGATGCAGGCATCGTCGTCCTGCAGAAGTGGCACCGTGTGCTGCGGATTCTTCTTCGAGTACTCCTCGCTGAAGTTCTCCTTCTCGAACAGGTTGACGAACACGTACTCGAAGGGCAGATCCAGTGCCTTCAGGGTGAGCAGACAGGCCCGAGTTGGTGGACTGGCGTCCAGGCCGTAAAGCGAGATCTTACCCATTCTCCAGCGGATTGACAAGTAAATGTCGAGTGCTATGCCAGGACTATTTTATAGATTATGGGGCATGGGAACCTTCAGCCTGCAACTGATTTTTTAATTAACTACGCCCACTCCACTCGGAATACCAGAAAAACCCTTAAAGCCTCAGGACAAATTGTTTAAAATTGAATTACTTGCACTTTGGTTGGGGAAACTAGTTGGACTTAAATGTGGGAAATGTAAATGTAATTAAATATTAAGTATTTAGTATTTAACAAATACATTGGGTAGATATTTAAACATACTTCGATTATACTCCATTCGAATATTAAATTAGTTTTGAATTTAACTTTAAAGAATGAAATTAAAACTAAAACATATTTATGTTTATCTTTAAAATATCAACTACAAAGTAATAACAAAACACAAAAAGCATTTTCAAGCTAAAAATTAAAATTGTTATAGTAGCAAAGAAAATTCTTATAAATTTAAGAAACTAATTTAAAACCACTGCTCCAATTTATTGTGTTTATTTTCTATGCATTGTCGAAGGCCTTTATTTTTCTTCGAGTGTAGTTAATAACAAACAACTTTTTTAATTATGATGATAATAAATTGATGCCGCCACGCACCCGGTAATTGTGGGAAAAAAGGGCTTACAGCAGGGTCAGCTGACCCTTCAGCAGGTCCACGTACTTCTTGGCCCCCGCCCCATTGGCCTCCTCGTAGTAGGGGAGCTCCTGGAGGCGCTTCAGCCAGGCGGTGATTTTCGGATACTTCTCAGCCTCCAGCGGAACAACAGCTGGAAGGGATGAGACTGTGGCAGCACAGCAGAAGTCCGCAATGGTCAGGGTGTCCCCAGTAATATAGGGATTGTCCCCCAAGAAGGTTTCCAGGTGACCATAACCATCACGGACATTATCCGCCTTCTCTTGCGAAAACTCCCTGACATTGTGATAGAAATAAGGCGCTGAGATATTACGGAGAGCCATGAACAGTGCACTGGCCTCGAAGTACAGTCGCTGATCCACATGAGCCCGCTTCACCAGATCCTTGGGATACAGATCGTCGTCAGGGGAGCCATACTTGCCCACCAAATAGCAAACAATGGCATGCGAATCCCAGATGAAAACTCCGTTGTCATCCAGCAGTGGAATGGTGTGCTGGGGATTCTTCTGCAGGAACTCTTCCTTGCGATGTTCCCCCGCCAGGAGATCCACCTCCTTGAACTCGTACTCCAACTTCAGGGCCCGCAGAGTCAACTGACAGGACCTCACTGGCGGACTAATGTCCAATCCGTACAGCACAATACCCGACATGGTCCAAGCTCAATCAGTTGTATCAGCGAAATGATACCTAATCTAGGGCTTTACGGGCTATTTATACCTTTTTAGGGCTTCGGATGGCCGCAAATCAGAGCGCTGCAACGATCACTATTTTTTTCAATTATACCCGATCATGGCTCGGGTTTTTTGTGATTCAAAACACTGCTACAACAAAAATGTATGATCGTAGGCGATCGTGCTCAAAACGAACATTCAGTTTCAACCCGAATGATTTTATTCGACCGAACGCTTTTTGTGAGCAGCAATGAATGTTCTAGAATGCTGCTTGGATTCAGTTCGATCGCAATCATTTGCACTGCAAATTAAGTACATCACTCGCTACTTCTTAAGAACTTGGAATCCGATCCTGGGTGGTGCTAAGTGCTCTCCCATTCCCCAAAGTCCGCAATGTTCAGTGGTTTTATCATGAAAAGAACGTGGAGTGAGAGGGCTTTTTGTAAACTTTATTATGAACAGGAAAAGTAGTCTTCATCTCAAGTTCACAATATTTTAAACGGAAAACCATAAACAATTTTTATTATATTATTTTGGAAATATATATGATATATGGATTAAAAAATACCTACTTCGAAAAATCAACGATAAGTGAATTATTTTATTAAAACTCTGATTTGAAATTATACCATACTTCGAATATACTCCATTTGATTAATGGGTTGATTTTAAATTTAAAACTCAAATAAAAAAAATGAATTTTAAAATAAGAAAAATAAAACTCAATAACCTCTTCAAATGACAAAACCCAAACGGAATTTACATGTTTAAGCTGCCTAATTTGTGATTGGTTTAAAAATGATCATGTAGCAAACAAAATTTTAATAAATTTAAGAAAATAATTTAAAACCACTGCTCAAATTTATAGTGTTTATTTTCATTGTATTATCGACTGCCTTTATTTTTCTTCGAGTGTAGCTAATGACAAACAACTTTTTTAATTAGCTGGGGAATTAAAAATTGATGTCGCCACGCACCGGGTAATTGTGGGAAAAGGAGCTTACAGCAGGGTCAGCTGACCCTTCAGCAGGTCCACGTACTTCTTGGCCCCCGCCCCATTGGCCTCCTCGTAGTAGGGGAGCTCCTGGAGGCGCTCCAGCCAGGCGATGACCTTCGGATACTTCTCCGCCTCCAGCGGGATAAGAGCTGGCAAAGATGACGCTGTGGCAGCACAGCAGAAATCCGCAATGGTCAGGGTGTCCCCAGTAATATAGGGTTTGTCCCCCAAGAAGGTCTCCAGGTGACCATAACCATCCCGCACATTATCCGCCTTCTCTCGCGAAATCTCCGTAACATTGTTGTAGAAATAAGGAGCACATATATTACGAAGAGCCATAAACAAAGCACTGGCATCGAAATACAGCCGCTGATCCACATGAGCCCGCTTCACCAGATCCTTGGGATACAGATCGTCGTCAGGGGAGCCATACTTGCCCACCAAATAGCAAACAATGGCATGCGAATCCCAGATGAAAACTCCGTTGTCATCCAGCAGCGGAATGGTGTGCTGGGGATTCTTCTGCAGGAACTCTTCCTTGCGATGTTCCCCCGCCAGGAGATCCACCTCCTTGAACTCGTACTCCAACTTCAGGGCCCGCAGAGTCAACTGGCAGGACCTCACTGGCGGACTAATGTCCAATCCGTACAACACAATACCCGACATGATGCAAGCTCAATCAGTTGTATCAGCGAAATGATATTAAATCAAAGGCTTTTCGGATTATTTATACCTTTTTAGGGCTTTGGGTGCGTGCAAATTCAGTGCATCCCTCGCTACTTCTTAGTAACTGGGAATCCGATCCTGGGTGGAGCTCCAGTCCAAAGTACTCTACCATTCCCCAAAGCTGGAGTGGCTTTTTGTAAACATTACATGGGAAAAGTTGTATACATCTCAAGTTCACTTTGTTTTAAACGTAATACATATAGTTTAAAAATACCTACTTCGAATAATCAACGATATATTTTTTTTTAATTAAAATTATTAACGGTTACTTTGCAATTGAAGTACATATATGCATTTTGTTTTAAAGCAGCTATTTAAAATATTTTAAAAATATTTTTTTTTTTTGGCTAAAAGAAGTAAATCTCTCATGGGAAATCATATTTTCCAGTTAAAAGTTATTTTTATTTGTTAGGAAAGTACGCCCTAAAATATATAATAGTTTTAAACAATCGTGTACTTCTTGCTCTTGAGCCAGTCGGCGACCTGTGACATCCTGGATCCGTTGGCTTCCTCGAAGTATGGCAACTTTTTCATGCGCAGTATCCAATCCACCAACTTTGGATACTTTGCGGCATCCACATCAAGGAAAAGTACAGCAGTGGATAGGACAGCAGTGGTGTGGAAATCGGCGATGGTTAAATTCTTTCCGGCCAGATAGTCGTTGCTTTCCAGGAATAAGTCAAGGGTCCGGTAGACCTTTTCCAGGGCATCGAACTTGGCCTTAGGGATCTCAGTTTTACCTTCCCTCAAAGGAGCAAAGAGAGCTCGAGCTGTACTAATTAACACACTGGAATCGTAGTACAATCTCTGGTCAACGATGGCTCGCTTTTGGAGATCCTTGGGATACAGGGAATCGTCCTTGCCGTACTTGCTCACCAGATAGGCATTAATGGCATGGCTATCGCTGATATAGAATCCTTCGTCCTCCAAAGTGGGAACTGTGTGCAGTGGATTAATCTTGAGATATTCCGGTTTTAGATGATCGCCGCTGACCAAGTTTACTATTTTATACTCGAAAGGAATATCCAAGGCGTTCAGGGTTAGGAGAACCGACCGAACTGGAGGACTTGCGTCGAATCCGTATAGAATGAGTTTTCTCATTTTCCTATGTTTTACTTGATTTTTCTTCTTTAGGGTTGAGCTCTTTACTCGATAAAGTGTTCTAATGCTCTGCGGTTTTTATAGGCGGGCAGCTCTCTTTAGTTAAGAGAATTCCCCACACCTGCGGTGACTGAAAAGTCAGTCAAATTCGATGACATCAACCTATATTTTTTACTCTTCGAACTAGGGTTGTCGAAAATTTTAAAAATATCGTATCGATGATATTTTTTTTATCAAATAATATGATAATAATATTTCTAAATATCACCGAAAAATATCGATATATTTGATATTTTTGATATTTTTTGTGTTAAATAAAAAAATTTCCTGCCCACAATAAAAAGACAATAAGTTTCGGTAATTGTTTACAAGTGCGGTCCGGACTTCGAAATCCGTTGGCGGAAAGTGAAAATTTTGCACCGTTTTTTTGTTATTAACAATCCTTACTTCAGCATTCTTGAAAGTCTCCGTTATTGTCATAATACCTTCAAAGTTCGTGGACAGCTAAGAATGAAAACTAATTAATATATATACAACGTGTGTGTGCGCGTTTGGCGCCAAATTTCGGTGGTATGTGCGTAAGTTACATATGCACACATAGACAACGAAATCTGGCCATACGCACACATATCACATATGTACATTCCTTCTTTTGCGCGCATTTTGCGAAAATATTATTTTGCGCTTAAATTCGTTCACTTGAAGTCGCTTTGGAATACAAAGTAACCAAGACAAAAATATCAAAAAATATCAAAAAAATATATCGATTTTCCGATATTTAGGCAAACAAAAAATTACGATATAAATATATCATTTTAAAAAGAAAATATCGATATATTGATATTTTGATATATTATCAACAACCCTACTTCGAACGAACAGGTGGTTGGGGCCTCTGAAGTAAGAGAGCTTTTTTTGATGTCAGTTTTTTCTCCGGCTAAAGCTCTTACCTCGTACACTTGCCGATTTTTTATAAACATGGGATAATTATTCGTAGATGTTTGCTTATACTTTCTTTAGTAATCAAGGCATATTGATTAATCATTAACTAACCTTGACCCATAACTCAAAGGTCTTTTAAAACAAAATTTGTATGGCAAACTTGTATAATATAAAGGATACTTTTGTAAGTTCTAGAGAACAATACTTCAGCCAAACAAATTTACTTTAATTTTTTGATAAGAGAAACCTTTAATTAAATAAATTATCTCTTAAAACATTTTACAAATTTTCTCGTGCTGTGAAAAGGGTAAACAAACTGAAAATGAGTGAGCACAATGAAAAAAAATTGGATTTAATTTTTTTAAACAATTAACGTGTATTTTAATTTTATCTCTAAAAGTTCTTATCAATAAACATATCTTTGACAAACCATCTTTAATTTGACATGATAAGCTTGTTTGTCCCATATTATAATGCCCTATCAGCTTTGATAAGATTCGTATAGTTTTTCTTATCAACAAACAAGTTCCGACTGATAGTAAAGCATTTACGAATATGTTGTACGAAAGTCACGTGTGTTGTGTTCAATAAATATATTTTTTAACAATTTCTTTTGAGTTTTTAACAGGTTCTAAACAATAGTGAAGTTCTTGCTCTTGATGAACTCGATGATCTGGGCCGCTCGAGAACCGTTGGCCTCCTCGTAGTAGGGAAGAGCCTTAATACGCTTAACCCAGGCGGCTAGCCTAGGATACTTTGTGGCATCCACTGGGAGGAAGACCAAAAACCCAGTAAGGGCGGCGGTCACGTGGAAATCGGCAATGGTGAGGGTGTCGCCAGCCAAATAATCTCCGTTTTCCAGGAAAAGATCGAGGGTCTTGTACACATCCTCCAGATCGTTGATCCTGGACTTGGGAATCTCCGACTGGTTCTGCCAGAAGAGCGGGAAGGTAATGGCCCTTCCGGTGGAGGTTACCACACTGGAGTCGTAGTGCAATCTCTGGTCAACAATGGCCCGCTTCTTAAGATCCTTGGGATACAGGCTATCGTTTCTGCCGTACTTGCTCACCAAATAAGAATTGATGGCATGGCTGTCGTACAGATAGAAACCATTATCATCCAGAGTGGGCACGGTGTGCAGGGGATTCATCTTGAGGAACTCCGGCTTCAGTTGCTCCTTCTCCAGCAGATTGACGATCTTGTAGTCGAAATCTATACCCAGGGCGTGCAGGGTGAGGAGCACCGAGCGAACTGGAGGACTTCCATCGATTCCGTAAAGCGTAAGTTTTCCCATGTCGCTGCTGTTTCGAAACTGGCGAGTTTACTGTTAGTTCAAAGTCAAAACCTGAGGGTTTATATAGCCGCCGGTTGGTTCTCTTTACTAAGAGAGCTTTGCCTTGTTGTGATGACTCTGCACTTTAACACACCTTTGGAGCCCACACATCTCTTAGCCTTTGATGTATATCGATGAGTTTAGTTTTATGTATTTCGCAATGCTCTTTTGACGTAAGGGAGCTTTGAAAGCATTTCTATGTGTTTACTGGTGCCTTGGGACTATTATCATCTCAACATATTGGCCAACTCGACCCTTGGACTAATTACTGGTTCGTTAAGTGGTTTGGTACCATTTTTCCTTAAGTAATGAGTCACCTCGTTTTGGACAGCATGAATAAAAGAAGTACAGGCTTAAAAACACCGTATATTTTTTTCCATAAATAATATATTTATTTTATTTATTCATAAAATGCAACATGTGCAACAAAATATAAGAGAACTAGATATCCGTAGCCGACAATCGCTTACGTATTGGCAGGACTTCAGTTTATTTTTGAGCCACAAAAGTCCTTCCAGTAACAAGATAGATGGGCTTAAACAGGCCGTTCTCCATCAAAAGAAATCTTTTTATCGGCATTCTTCTTCTTTTTAGCACCTGATGAATAAACAAATGCTTATCCATTTATTCCCTTTTCATCATAGCTTTATGATACAGTTAACGTTAGTTTGTGAATCCTTAAGAAGGATTCCGTTAACATCAAGAACCACCTTCCTATAATATATTCTTTATTATTCTATTAAAATAATTGATTCAAGTGATTATATGCCAGGATATCGATGTTGATGTGTTAGTGATCAAAATTCAGTTTACAAGCCCGAAATTTACTAATGTAACAGCACTGTAAAACTGACATTATGCCATCACAAACACTCAATATTCATCTAAACCTCTGAACTACCCAAACACAGGAAAAAATCTAAATAAATACAAACAACCAACCACTTGTTTGCGCAGAGCTTTAAACTTTTCAACTTGATCTCTTCGAAATTATGCATACATTATACAAAATTTATTTTTAAATTGATCTATTGCTCTTTTGTTTACCTGTAGAAATCGAATTAAGAACCCCAAAAAAAAAATACCCGTAGTTAAAGCGTGCAAGAAAGAATTTTTTAAATAAAAATGCAAAGACTTATTTCCAGGAAATCATTTATATTTAAAAGCTAATTTTTTTAAATTTTGCATGGTGGGAATTATACATAAAAAATATATATGTGTTTTATTATTTTTGATGTTGGATTTTTCGTCTTTGGTGGGTCTCCTTAGGCCCCCAGCTTGGTCCACTTGCTGCGCAGGAAAGCGACATATCCCTGAACCGGGCCTTCATTGATCTCCTTGTAGAAGGGAATCTGGTTGAGGCGATCCAACCAGGCGGTGATCTTGGGATACTCCGCTGGTTCGATGTCGACGGCTGCACGCAGGCCACTAACAGTGGGTCCAACTGCTAGATCGGCCAAGGTTAGCGATTCCCCAACCAGATACGAGCTGCTGGCCAGGAAGGACTCCAGCAACTTGAGACCCCGGTGCACTGTGTCCAGTTTCTCCTGGGGCACCTCGGTTACCCCTCCAAACCAAAATGGTCGAACTATGTTTGATAGCCCGGGATAACTGACACTGGCCTCGAAGAACAGACGCTGATTGACGATCGCCCGCTTGGCCAGATCCTTGGGATACAACTCATCCGATTTACCATACTTATCCACCAAGTAGATGGCGATTGCATGGGAATCCCATAGGATGATCCCATTATCATCGAGCACGGGAACTGTGTGCTGGGGATTCTTTTCGAGGTATTCTTTGGAGAGGTGCTCCCCCGCCTGCAGATTGACCTCCTTGTACACGTAGTCCAAGTTCAAAGCCTTCAGGGTAAGTTGTACAGTCCTCACACAGGGACTCCAGTCCGTTCCGTACAAAATGATTCCAGTATTCGACATTATGTGTAGGTAAACCGGCGGCGATTCTATTACTACTGCGATTATGTCTTGTTATTATATACCGTTTGGTTGGAAGCTTTTTGCTGAGAGCTTTGCTCAACCGGCATGTAAAGATAAAAGCTTAGAGGTTTGTTGTTTTATTGTTTTAAAACCAATAAAGTATTATATCATCATTATTTGCTTTCGTTTTGTTTACTTCAAACAAAACGCTGAACGCTGATTGCAAAGAGTTGATTAGGATCGCTTTTTCCTTTTGCATAGAAACGAATGGGAGAAGAAGAAGAGTAAAATGCTGATTGTTCACAAAACGTAAGATCTTTTTTTTTTTGAAACCCTAATTGATTAAAGCTCAAATATGCTGTGTTGGTGTAGATAAAGACAGATAAGAAAGCATTTCTTCAGAGTACTGAACTAAGTGGTATCAGTTTGCCTAGTTGCCTAAAAAACTAATCAAGACAGATTTACAAACGAGGGTAAATAATTAATACAATTAAATTGAAATGAATTACCTTGTATTGTTACTGCCTAAATTAACTATACAGAAAAACGTACAATGATTTAATTGTAAACACCCGTTTAATGTAATTAAATTGATACAAACCAGTGCAATTGTTAGGTGTCTGAATGTAAAATCGCATCTATCTAGATTAGTATCAGGTATCTGAAAGTCAAGGCATGGGTTATTCTCCCATTGGATATTTACCTTTACATACCTTTATATATTAATATAATATCTATAATATAATAGTATAATAAAATAATATAATAATATGTATGTATGTATAGTTTTGAAGCAGATTGATAATTTAATAAGTTCTTAACAATAATTGGGTACTGTATCTTATCTTACCAAGCATGTTGCCGGAATTAATTCTAGTTTAATTAGCAATAAAGCTATTGAAAAAATTACAATTTAACAGATAAATCAAAAAATGCGTTTATTGACAAATATTTTTTCAGTGCACATGGTTAAAATATAATAAACATGTCAGTATTCATATTTTTTTATTAAATGTAACATATATCATGATATTATTGTTTACTTATCCCCCAGCTTGGTCCACTTGCTGCGAAGGAATGCGACGTATTCCTGAACCGGGCCTTCATTTATCTCCTTGTAGAAGGGAATCTGGTTAAGGCGATCCAACCAGGCGGTGATCTTGGGATACACTGCTGACTCGATATCGACGACAGCGCGAAGGCCACTAACCGTTGGTCCAGCTGTCAAATCGGCCAGAGTCAGCGATTCCCCAACCAGATACGAGCTACTGGCCAGAAAGGATTCCAGCAACTTGAGACCCCGGTGCACTGTGTCCAGCTTCTCCTGGGGCACCTCGGTAACACCTTCAAACCAAAATGGTCTGGCTATGTTATACAGCCCGGGAAAAGTGACACTGGCCTCGAAGAACAGACGCTGGTTGATCAACGCCCGCTTGACCAGATCCTTGGGATACAACTCATCCGATTTGCCATACTTATCCACCAAGTAGGTGGCGATGGCATGGGAATCCCATAGGATGATCCCATTATCATCGAGCACGGGAACTGTGTGCTGGGGATTCTTTTCGAGGTAATCTTTGGAGAGGTGCTCTCCCGCCTGCAGATTGACCTCCTTGTACTCGTACTCCAAGTTCAAAGCCTTCAGGGTAAGTTTTACGGTTCTAACACAAGGACTAAAGTCCGTTCCGTACAATACGATTCCAGTGTTCGACATTATGTGTAGTTAAGCCGACGACGGTTCTTTTACGACTGTAGATCTGTCTAGTTATTATATACCTTTTGCTTAAAAGCTTAAAAGCTTTTTGCTTGCAGCTTAAGTCAATCAGCATGTACAGATAAAAGCTCGGATGTTTGTTGTTTTATTGTTTTAAAAGCAATAAATTATTTTATTGTTTTTTGCTTTTATGTTGTTTACTTCAAACAAAACCCTGAACGGTGATTGCAAAGATTTCATTAGGAGCGCTTTTTCTTTTTGTATAGAGTCGAATAGGAATAGATAGTAGTGAAATAAAACGCAGGAACTTTTATTGAAACCCTAATTGATCAAAGCTCAGATATGCTGTGTGGGTGTAGATAAAGACAGATAAGACAACGTTTTATTAGAGAACATAAGCACTTAGTCGTATTAGTATGTCTCAGTTAGAGAAAATTTAAAAAGTTGATCAAGACAGATTTACAATGGAGAATAAATAATATTTAAAATTAAATTGATATACGTTACCTTGTATTAATATTGACTGGATAATATTTTTATGTATTCAAAACTTTACAATTACTCAATTATGAATAAAATTTACTGATATTGATATGAAATAGTGCAAAATATAATATTTAAAGTTGCATTCCCAAGTGAAAAATATTTATACACGTAACTCCTACAGTGAAAGGGTATACTGCGTTTGTTCTAAAGGGTGTAACAATTAAAAGGCCGTATAATGTAATTGATATCTATCGATAAAATGAAGCATTAAATAAACAATAAACATTTAAAAGAATTAAAAAATAAATTAAAAAATGCGTTTATTGGCAGATATTTTCTCAGTGCACATGGGTAATATTTTAAATATAATAAACATGTCAGTATTCATAGTTTTTTATTAAATGTATTGTATATTATTGTTTCTTATCCCCCAGCTTCGTCCACTTGCTGCGGAGGAAGTCGACGTAGGCCTGAGCAGGCGCCTCATTGATCTCCTTGAAGTAGGGGATCTGGTTGAGTCGTTCGCGCCAGGCAGTTATCTTGGGATACTCCACAGAGTCAATGTCAACTGCAGCGGGCAGAGCACTCACAGTTGCTCCAGCGGAGAGATCGGCGAGGGTCAGAGAATCTCCCGCCAGGTAGGGATTGTTGCCCAGGAAGGTCTCCAGCAGCTTCAGACCCCTGTGAATGGTGTCCAGCTTCTCCTGGGGCACCTCAGTGATCCCACTTATCCAGAAGGGACCGCTGACGTTGGCAAGACCGGCGAAGATAACACTAGCGTCGAAAAACAGACGCTGGTTGATGATTGCCCGCTTCACCAAATCCTTGGGATACAGCTCATCGGACTTTCCGTACTTGTCCACCAAGTAAGTGATGATGGCATGGGAGTCCCAGAGGAAGGTTCCATTATCATCGAGCACGGGAACCGTGTGCTGGGGGTTCTTCTTCAGGAAATCCTCGGAAAGGTGCTCTCCCGCTTGGAGATTCACTTCCTTATACTCGTAGTCCAAGTTAAGGGCCTTCAAGGTCAGTTTTACGGTTCGCACACACGGACTGAGATCCGCTCCGTACAATACAATTCCCGAACTCGACATTTTGCGTTGTTTATCCAACAGTGTTTCTTTTTAGACTGATCTTCTTCGCTCATATTTTATACTGTTTTTTTTTTAAAGCTTTTTTTGCTGAAAGAGAAAGCATTGAAAGCATGACAAGACAAAAGCTCTGACTCTGTCCTCTTCTTTTTGTTTCTAAGCCCATTATTAATCTTTCTATTATTTATTTCATCAGGAATAACATAAATTGCCCGTATGTTTGATGTTCTGGAACGCCTGCGGTGTATCTTTATGGTGGTGAAATATTGATATCAGGGCCTACCATAACAAAAGTCATATATGTAAGTACAAGTCATGCTGAGAACTTATAAAATTATTTCCCACTCATGGTATGAAATCTTGTCCCTTTTTTGTTGAACTCCTATCAATTTACATATAGTAAATATAAACAAGAATATAGTAAATATAAATATTAACATAATAATTATAAATATAATAAAATATGTAAGATTTATACATGCAGTCAAAAAACTCGAAAGTATTTACATACATTTTTACTTACTACTGTAAAATCGAAGTAGATTTAAATTCGAAGCTTTAAAGTTCTCGAAAGCGAATGCAAAGCTCTGGAACCCAATATCTTGGCCAAGGATTCTGAAATCACTTTCTAAACATCTTTGATATATTAACAACAATAAAATGATTTGTAAATGCATGCATATACAAATTAAATTAAAAAAATATAACAACTGTCAATTGAGTTTTTTTTTATTTAAGCGTTTTTATTTAAACATTTAACATTGTTAAATTATTATGTATCAGAGTGCGGTTTTTATATATTTTAATCAGTGGTTTATACCCCTGAATCCCCATTGGTTCTCCACCCATGATCGCATAAATCACGGGGACGTTGGCCAAATATTGGTATAGCTATAGATACCAGAGCGACTTATCTCGGGCATTAATAAACAATCAAGCAAAACTTAAACTTGCAGCATTATGACGTCTTTGTTATAGTTAACAAGAATCTAACTTTAGTATCTAATCTTATCGAGGGCAAAGTTAAGAATCAGTTTTCGTGCCTTGAGTCAGTTGTGGATGGCCCGTTGTCTGCCACGAATCTCAATTTAGCTAGCTGAAAAATCAAAAGAAAATTAGTTCATGATGGTGAACCTCATTTTATATGGAACTGAGAGCAGTCCACCGGTTCGGGCTGTTTTGCTCACCCTTCGCGCCTTGAAATTGGAGTACGAGTTCAAGACACTGAACATGCAGGCTGGTGATCACCTGAAGCCGGAAATGTTACGCAAGAATCCCCAGCACACGGTGCCCATGCTGGAGGATGGGGAGTCCTGCATCTGGGACTCGCATGCCATCATCGCCTATTTGGTGAACAAGTACGCCCAGTTGGATGAGTTGTATCCTAAGGATCCTCTTCAGCGAGCCGTCGTCGATCAGCGTTTGCATTTCGAGACAGGAGTCCTTTTCCATGGCATTTTTAAGCAGCTGCAGAGAGCTCTGTTCAAAGAGAACGCCACTGAGGTGCCCAAGGATCGCTTGGATGAATTGAAGGATGCCTACGGCTTGTTGGAGCTCTTCCTGGCGGAGAATCCCTATGTGGCTGGTCCTAAGTTGACCATCGCCGACTTCAGCATCGTAGCCACAGTGAGCACTCTGCACCTGAGCTACTGTCCCGTGGATGGGACCAAGTATCCCCAGTTATCCGCCTGGCTGGCACGCCTTTCCGCCTTGCCCTTTTATGAGGAGGACAATCTGAGGGGAGCCAGGTCACTGGCCGATAAGATCCGAGCCAAGCTACCCAAGCAGTTCGACAAACTGTGGCAGAAGGCCTTCGAGGACATCAAGAGCGGAGCTGGAAAACAATGAGGTGTTTTTAACTCGCCTTTCTTAACCAATTGTTGTTAAAATTAAAACTATTAAAATTAAAATGAGCTTCAATTTTTGGATTTCCTTTTTTTTAGGTTTGCATTAAAAGATCCACCATATAGAATAGTCAAGAGCGAATTAGATAACCGTTGCTTAGATAAATTGTGCTTTGGTGCCGGCGTTGTTTCAGATACGGTGCTGCAATAGCATGCACGGCATTGGGTAAGGTACCGCAATTGGGAAGGGTGCCGAATAAGTAGGCGTGACAGATTTTAAAAACACCAATCACTGCATTTTCATGAGTGGTCGCCATAAATAGTATAAAAACTGTGGGGAGTGGGTTTTCCCTGATAAATTAATATAACAAATTTGAGTTGTTTAAAATCCTAATTGTAAGGAAAAGTAAAAGTAGTGTACGGGTAACAACGAAAGTATGAATCAATATTGTACGATAAAACAATAACAAGAAAACAAAAGGTAAATTTACATTTTAACGAGAAAAGTCAAGCATTTCATGAAGTAACTTGACCTTAAACAATCCTTGATTGCAGCACATTTTTCTTCTTACCTGTACATGTATCTGTGCATCAACTTTATCTAAAGTGACTTCCAGTTGCGTGGACTGCATTTCCAATGGCAACGCAGCCAAAAGTTTACAACTTTTTTGCGCTCATTAAAATTATAAAATTTTCCCCTCCACAAAGCGACAGAAAAATAGAAGAGGGCAAGGGAATGAAAAGCGCAAAGTTTTCCTGCCGTGTCGTGCATGCTAAAGTTGTTAAATCATAATTAATTTATGACGGCGCCATCCGCTGAAGCAGCTAGCCGCTCAGCTCCCCCCGCCTTTCTCCCAATTTGCCTCTTATCTACACTCCGGCCCGAGAACTCCACGCCCCCCATCCTGTCTAGTCCCCAAAAGGGCCGCTCCGGCGTTTAAAATACTCTTAAAAAGGAGCCCAAGTCTAAATACCTGCGGGGTGAAGTCCATTTCCAACCCCACAAGTGTCCTTATAGAGATGCCAGCGTGAGCTGAACTCAACTCAAGACGAAACATAAACACTAACCAGCGTTTAAAACTAAGAACATTTTTAGCTTATAAAGGTGTTTTCAACAAATTGCCACGCCTACTTTTACTTCCACCAACTAACATAAGGACCTTTCAGCATTTCTGCTTATTGACATCCTTGGGTTAGAACTTGCTGATGTTTATAGTAATGAATAAACAGCGGGGAAAGTAGTAAAAAAGTTGTCACACAAAGAAATTATTGTCTGAGTAACGTGTATCTAAATACGAAAAAAGTTTAATCTTGTTTTTATTAAACGTTACTTACTATTTTTTATTAATTATTGGAAACTGTTAATCCCAGCTTAGATTTAAATATTTCGTTGTACAATTTTTTATGGTCCTGTTATATTTTTTAGCAAACTGTTGCAATATCCTTAAGCCGGTTTTCAGGATACCGTGACTTTGTGGGCATCTCAAAGACTTACCTTGCGTCGCCCGGTTTTATGCGCCTCATTGCAGCGGCGAAGGCGACGGCGAACGAGAGTGGTGGCAGGCAAACTAATTGGTTTAATTTCAACTTTTACTTAGGGCCACCCTGGCACCGGTCCACCCTCCAAAAAGCCACCCCTCGTCCTTGTGCCGTGAGCCACCACCCATCACCCACTCACCCACTTACCCACCCACGATGTCAGTGGCATTTGAGAAGTTTGCTTTGCTTTACGCTTCGCCTGGCACTTCACTTGCCTTCGTGGCGGGACGCTTTTACTTTTCCCTCTTCCGCCTTTACGGCCTTTCACTTTGCCGCCTTATTTCCTGCCCCGCCCCTTTGTTTTTCGGCTTAGAATCTTCTTTGGCGAGAGCCGTATTAATTTATCGCACTGTTAAGGAACAGGACTACGGAAGTGCTGGATTTATTTAAACATAAGAAATTAAAACTTTATTTCGGAGCCGTGAAATATTGGGGCCACATTTTCCCTTTAATTAAAGTAAATGGATTTAGAAGGTACTGGAGTATGAACAAATAAAACAAACAAACCAAACAAAAACAAAAGTCCTGAATACTATAAATTTTAAGAAAATACATATTACAATTTTAAACAATATTTATTTGAATGGAAAACTATTGAAGTTGTGCGTTTCAGAATTATTTTAAAAATAATGTACAAGATAACTTTATGTGCTATATTGTTATATTGCCGGTGGATCTTTAAAATATTGATTTGCGAAATTTTTTAAAAAAAAACTTGAACTTGAGACTCTGATTTAAAGTTTGAATTTAATGCTCCTTAGAATGGGAAACTTTTCGCCGGCACATTGACCCCGGAAGTCATCCAAAGAGAGGTCGTGGAAGGACACTCCGCCCAATCCCTGAGCCTGGACGAATCCTGCCTTGATGGCCGCCGTTGTGGGATCCTCGTAGCCAACCCAAATCCCGTTCTCTCCCTGGTCATCCGCTGCTCGATAGGCGTAGATGCCGAAACGCTTTGTGGGATCGCCCACCTTGCGCAAATGGGGCGTCTCCCGATCCTGCGGCTGCTGCTGGAGCAGCTCGCAGATCTCCGGCCAGCTGAGGAGTCCAGGAGTGGTGGTCTGCCTGCCACCAGGAGCAGCTCCATTGGCAGCCGGAATCGGTGGATAGCCGGTGATGCCTGAGTTGCGGGTCATGTTCCAGGAACGCCCGTAACTGGTCACTCCGACGTGCAGCTTGTGGGCACTGATCCCGGATGTCTGGTTCAGCCAGTACTGCACCTGGTACTGCACATTGTGGCTGGGCTCCCGGTCGTACATTTCATACAACGGCGTGGGCAGATCCGCAATCTTGGGATTCCGTTCCGGGGTCTGGAAGTCGTAAGTGCCCAGGTTGACGAAGTCCACGCGGCTCAGAACCGTGGGAATATCAATAAAGACTGAAAAATATAATATCACATGATACAAGTTTCTAAAATTAAATTTAAGTTTTTGAACTTCAAAAGGAGAAATCAGAATGGGATATTAATAATGTGGATATTATTATTGTTATTAATGTGGACGGGAATATATATACATTATGGGGTCTGAGGAGTCTGCGTTGAAAACTTCTGACTGAAATTAAAAAACCTTTTGCTCTGCATGGGTATAAAAATAAACAAAACATACTTTTCCCTCATACTTTTCCCAATTAAAATAACATTTAAAAATATTAAACCAATCGTGTTTATGGTTGATATAATTTTAAAAACTTTAAATTCTGATTCTAAGTACATATTTCTGTCCAAGTCTGTACTTACGTTCTGCTGAAACATGGGGCAACATGCTGACAGTGAGCAGTTGGCCAGCGCGTCTCAAGTCCGATTGAAGCTCTCCAAGGAGGAGGGCGAACTGCTCCCGATGCTCCTGTGCCTTCTCATCCACCGAAGAGGAGCTAAAGAGGCCGCGGAAGGAGCCCCACACCCTCTTGAGGACACCCTGCTGCACTTTGGGCTTGTTTTTGGGGAACTGCCAAGCAAGGTCGAGTCCATCGAAGCCAAACCTGTTGAGTTCCGCCACCACACTCTCCTTGAAGTTTCTCCGGTGCTCCGGCAGTTCCAGCAATCTCAGGTACTTTTCACTATCTGCCACGCCCTCGGAGTTTAGATCATGATCTCCGCCCACCGAAAGGAGAAATCTAACGTGTGGGAACTTCTTACGAAGAGCTGTTATGTGGCTGTAATGCTGGCGATCATGGGTCAAAGTGGGATCTAAACTGTTTATTCTGAAGGTCTGGTTATCGATTCCAGCATAGCCGTAAACCAAAAAGTTGCAGAAATTCAAGGCGGGCTCCAGTTCGGAAAGTGACATTTGAGCTGGACCTAATTAGAAGTGATAACCTCTGAGCTTTTTGTCACACAAAGATTAAAAGCATTCAAAACTTACCTTCGCGCACAAAACTCTTGGAATCGTAGAAACAAACCAATTTTCCCACTTCTGCAGATATAGAATGCAAGTTGGCCAGGAAACTACACAGCAGTAACCCTAAATAATATATATTTTTAGCTTTCATAATGCTAAATAGATCTATTCAGCTTTGAGTAACTTTAACAACTGATTTCGCACGGCTTGTTTTGATTAACCAGAGTCAAAGCTTTGTTCAAACAAGCAGCAGAGATAAGAAATTGTTGTGATTAGTGCTGCGACTTTATGTTTATATTATGTGCCTCTTAATAAATTAGGGTGATTAATAAAAACACCTAGAACACTATGGTATAAAATAGTTCAGCAATGAAAAACACAGAAATTGTAATGCTGAACGTATTTTCACTAGAACTACAAAATCTATTTAGTTGGGAAACACTAAGAAGCATGCATACTTTTTGGGGCAAATATTTCATTGTGGAAAATGTATATTTGTGGCAATTTTGTTATTTAATAAAATTTGTTACGAAAGCAAATTCAGGTAAAACTTAGTTATAAAAATTGAACCAAAACTTTATCCCCTTACGATTTTTGCACAACATAAATTTCATTATTATACTTATAATATCAAACCACTATTACGACACTCCAACCACCTAAATCATTTGGTAAAAATCTCTTCCAATTCTGTAAGCAAAAAATTTTAAAATCCATTGGGACTGACTTGTCCTTCCAGCTATTTATATATGTTCCATGATCCGCATTTCCCACAAAACAGGCAAACAAACATCCACCCATGTGGCCATTAGTGTCCGTCAAAGTGGAGAGTGGGTGGCAAAAGGGGGTGGCTGGGGTTATCAAAGTGTCAGTGCCACAACTTCAATGCCAATCCGAAGTCCTGCACTCAACACCAATTTACCGATTCCCACGAGACAATAATGTTTGTTCATGCTCGTAACGCTTAAACACATTAAAGCCCTCGACTACAAACGCCGGAATGATGAGTTGTCACTCCCCGGGAACAGGCCGCAATAACTGGGGGGGGTCACCACTCGAAACATGGTCATGGGATGGCCGTATCCATGTCCTTGTTCGAGTCCAAGTCCAAGTGCTTCCATCCCCCAGTTGATTAGCAATTTCGCTCACGTGGCGGCAAGGGCGAAGTGTGTTGACTGCCATGTCATTTGATGGAAATGAAAGGGTCAGCTGTCAGGGGATGCCACCAATGGTCACTGGTCAGTTACTGTTTCTGTTACTGTTCTGCTTTCAAAACTTTCCGGGGGGCTAACACTAAACAGATCCCGAGCTAAAACGTCTAACAAGGACAAGTTAAGACCTTTAATAATTGGCTTTATTACAACAAGTTTACGTTTCTTATTCCTTATCAAATTTTACTGTGTTAAAAATGGAATTAGTGTAAGCATTGTAAGAAATAAATTAAAAGAATTATATGCAGAAATGTATTTAATATTTAGTAATGTATTATTAAATATAGGGTTATTGTTTTGGACTTATAACAACAATACATGCATGTATGTTATTCCTTTATTTATTTATTCCTGCAGTAAATATTTGCATTGCAGAAAAGTACTAATTATTTTGTAATGTATACTTATATTTACGCTTATTTTTATCTCAAAATAAAAATGTCACTGAATGGGAATTGCTTAATAATTGCTTGCTTTAATACAAATTAAACTCCAGTTTAAAGTGACTTAAAACATAAACTGTTTTACAGTGGTTCCTACCTCCAAAAATGTTTTAATTCCATAAATGTGCGCCTAAGTACAGAAAAAAGGGGTGTGTCCAGCCTACGCACGACAGAAGTGAAACTTCTTCATCACTACTCATTTTTATACACTTGCAGAGCAAAAGGGTATTATAATTTCAGTCAGAAGTTTGCAACGCAGTGAAGGAGACACCTCAGACCCCATAAAGTACAGTCAGCGCCACAAAAAAAACCGCACTTTGAAGGTTTACGAATTTACAACTTTCAGGGCCTGTTGTTTCATTATATGATTGCGGATTCGCCCAATTTTTTTTTTAACAAGTTAACTGATGGTATGTTAATAAAAGTGCATACCAATTTTTATTTTAAATTTGTTTTTAATATTAATAAAATTTTTTTTTTTGGTTTCACCCTAGTTTTAACGACTTTTCACTATTATGGAAAACTTAAGGAAACAAATCATAAAATGTATAATAATGAAAAAATTGAACAAAAACTATTTTTTTCCAATTGAACACCTTTCTAACTATAACAAAAAATTTAATTCTGGGAAATTTAACAATGGACATATTTTTTTAATTTAGTTTAATACTAAGAAATGCCGCATTTGGCCTTAATTACAGATTTTACCCTATTGGGCATAGAATCGTAAATGGAACACAAATATTCCTTCGTTATATCGTGTATCCATACTTTTTCTATAATATGTGTTAGTTCCTCCATAGTTTTGGGCTTTCGCTTTCTTATTTTGGCACCCATATAGGCCCAAACATTCTCGATTGGATTAAGGTCTGGGCTGTTTCCTGGCCAATCTAAGGACTTTATGCCCAATTCTTCCTTCAAATTTGTTATCTTTAGATAGAAAAATGTTACATTTAACTGAAAAAGTTGTTTGGATAATAATCGGACACTGAGTAACTCACAGATCCCGCTCGATGGAAAGGTGCAGAATCATCCTGAAAAATGGGTTCATCTTCTTCTTCACTTATGGACTCCATGCTAGGCACAACTCCTCTTAAAATTATTTATTTGTATTTTTCTGCATTGACCATACCCTGAACCATTAAAATTGATTCCGTTTTATATTTGGATATGCATCCCCATACCATAACATACGCTGAATGCTTTCCTGTGGCTATGCAACAATGTTCAGAATAACGTTCCCCACGTCTACGGTGCACCTTGAGAATTCCATCAGATCCAATGAGATTAAATTTGGACTCATCTGAAAAAAGGACTCTTGACCAATCAGAAGCAGTCCAATTTTTCTTGTCCTTGGCCCAGTTTAGACAATTTTTTTCATTCGCGTATTCAAAAGTGGCTTTTTTGCAAAGTGGCTTGCGAACATTCCCATAGAGTTAAGCCGACGTTGAACAGTTCGCTCCGAAATATCTTTTGAAAACTGTTCATGTACCTCAGATCTTATCTGCATTGCAGTTTTGAAACGATTCTGCAGGCTCGTTCTCATAATAAAGCGATCTTCACGTGACGTGGTGCATTTTTTTTCACCTGTCCCTTTTTTCCTTTTTAATTCACCTGTCTGACGATATTTTTTTTAAAACGACGCACTGAGCTTTCATTGAAATGTGTTTCAGCCGCTATTTGCAGATTTGACTCATTTTGTTCAGCCAATAAAATAATTTTTTCTTTATGGCGATCAGTGAACTGCTTTTGCTTTGGCATGATTTTACTGGTGTCTTTACAAAAAAATTCTACCAAAAGCAACTTAAGCAATAGCGCTCTTCAAATGACGAAATTATGTCGAAAATAGTTAAGGGAAACCTCCCTAAAAAAATAATGCCCAGAGAATAAAATTTAGGGGAACCCAAGCATAGTGACTGCACGATTTCCAAATTTTTTTAAGTGCGGCTTTTTTTGTGGCGCTGACTGTATATATATTCTTGATCAGCATCACGAGCAGAATCGGAATACGTCTGTACGTCTGTCCGTCTGTCCATCTGTCCGTCTGTTCGTTTCCGCGCAAACTAGTCTCTCAGTTTTAAAGCTATCTTGCTGAAACTTTCCCAAAAGGTGTGTAATTATTGCACGCAGTATATAAGTCGGAACGGGCCGGATCGGCCGACTATAAAGGATAGCTCCCATACGAGGGAATGAAATGAAAAATTCTCACGCCGGTGTTTTTCGTCAGATCTACTTGAATTCTTCAAGATGGCGTTTTCTAACTGTTATTGAATTTCGGATTAAATTTGATCAAAATCGGATAACTCTATCATATAGCTGCCATAGGAGAGATCGAAAATTATATATAGAATTAATGGAAATAAATTGATAACATCGTTGTTTTTTATCCCATGATTTTTTGAATATCAAGTTTTTTAACAACGTTTATATTGAGAAAAAAGTTTCATAAAAATCGGTCATCTATATCTTATAGCTGCCATAGGAAAGATCGAAAAATTTATATCGAAATAATGGAAACAAATTTATAACATCGTTGTTTTTTTATCAGACAAGTATGATTTTTGGAATATAGAGTTTTCTTACGACTCTTGAATTACGAATTAAATTTGATCAAAATCGGACAACTATATCATATAGTCGACATTTGAACAATAGTCGAAAATACGGAAAATGAATAGAAAAATCGTCATAGCTTCGATACTGTTTAGCCTTTTTGTATTTAGTTCGACATATTTGATGACTGCAAGGGTATATAAGCTTCGGCTTGCCGAAGCTAGCTTCCTTTCTTGTTAAAATTGAAATTCTGTAGGAAACCGAATAAAAGCCTTATTATACGCTTCATTTTAGAGGTCTCGAAATGTGCTGGCGACTCTCAAAAGTTAACAAACCGATTGAGAAGAAGAAGAAGACAAATACATATCGATATGTGTTTTCATTTCTAGGTCAAATAAAATGGATAGAAATTATGGTGCCAATTAATATCTGTATGCAACCTGTTCGATTTGAATTCCTTTTGACATTCACACCTCTCACCCCTTTTTCAACTGCAACTTTGTGCGAGCGCGCTGAGAGCGCGCTGAGAGCGAGAAAGGATAGAGGAGGATAGAGACATCGTTCGTCAGCGGTTAGAAAGGGATGGGGATCCTCGCTTTTTCGTGACGGCAATTTTCGTGACGGTAATTTTCGTGACGGTCATGAATCGGTTTTACTCCGTCCCCGAAAATCCATAACGCGCCTAAAGAAGTTTCACTTCAAAAAAGTGAACACAATATGATATTCAAGTTTATGCATAAGGCCGCAGTTGGTTGCATCGTAAAACCAAATGGCGAGAGCTATAAAACTAACCGCAGCACAAAAAAAGGACAATAAAGGAGGCCAACGGTGGGGAAAAGGCAACAGAAATCAACAGAATGTAACCGCAAGCACGGACGCTTAGGCAATCAACTAACAGAATGCACACATGTTCAAAAGCACAGGTTTATGCCTTTCCCCTTACTTTTCGAGACACGCCCACTCCAGAGGCGTATGACGAAAACATTGTATCCTAAACCAAAAAAATCTAGAATACGTAACTTATTTCTTGAATATTAAAGAATATTAGTAATGGGTATCATTTGTTTCCATACCTGATACACCACTAAGTCCCCCTTTAAATAAGCTTGAGTACGACTCTGGTCCACTTACCAAACAATTTCACCACAGGTCGACAGTAAACTAATAGCAAACCAGCTGCCAAGGAAGCCATTATATTCAAACTGAGGCAAATAGAGTTGCAATTACACATACATAAATATAAGTGCACAGGAAAAAACAAAAATTTAGTTAAAGTTGTTGGGAAAAAATCCTTTAAAAAAACAAACAAAAAGCTGTTGAATGCTTAAGTTTTAAAAGAGTACCTGCAGAATATTTGGGGTAACTTATTTTAAATTTACAAAAAACACTGCACAGACCTACATTATTAAAAAACCTACTCAATATAAATTTTGTTCACTTCAAAGTTATTTACGATCTTGTTTAAAGAAATTGCAATTATTTGGAATTATACATTTTTTAAATATATTTTGATTTATATACAGATTTATTTATTATATATTCATCTATTATCACTTCACAGCTTTTCTTTTAAAGTAAAATTAAGTTAGCAATCATTTTGCGAATGGTGGTCTTGTCTAAAGTTTTTTTTTTATCATATTTGCAACAGTATTAAAGCCTCATTGATATAAACAATTTGGGTACCTCACACCAATCGATAAATTTTGGCCACCGGTTAGCGCTTTAATGGTGCCACAAAGTCAGCTCTTGGGCGTCTTTAATTCCTGAATAGCCTCTCGACTGGATGATTAACTTTTTCGAGAGACATGTGGCAGCTGTCGCTGCCCGCACCGCAGCGTAATTAAATTGTTAACGCACACGTGTCGGCTGTCCGTCTATCCATTCAGACATTTCCACGTGCAGCACATACTTACGTACGTATACGTACATCTGGCCGGAGTTCATTTATCCGTGATGCCATTTACGTTGACAACTGTGTAAAAAAACAACAACAATAACAGCAGCAGCATTTAGCACACGCGGCACTAATCCAGTGGATGAGTGGATGCTGGGTGCTCGAGTTGAACCCTTTCTCCGCCCCACTTGCACCACCTTTCTCCGCGAAACCAGCAAAACACCACCACCACCACCACCACCGAAATCGCTGGCAATCGCCTCAAGCCCCCCGAACCACTGTAAAAAAAACAAACACAATTTGCATGGAGCTCGGCTGGCGGTTTTAATGCTTCATTGGCTTAATTGCCAGTCATGTGCGAAAACACATGCACAGCTAGAACGGATTTAAAAATTTAAAGTCTACTAATATTTTGGTTTTTATTTTTGAATATTTCCATTTTTAAATTATTGAAGATTTTTATAAATATATTAAAATTATCAAAGAATTTTAATTTATTGACTACTAAAGTTATTAATCTATATTTGCTATTGTTTCTTTATGGGTCAGCTGAAATGGTTAATATTATTGACTGTTAAAAAATTAATTTTAATTAAATCGAATTTTAATACTTGATATTTTTGTTTGTGAACTTATAGGTATTTTCTTGTAATCAAAAATGTCCGCTGAAAGTGAAAAACAAATTAACACGAACTAATTGAAAATATTTAAAGCTAGAGATTTTTTTGAGTGGACCATTCCCGCTCAGACTTACTTATAAACAAACTCCGACAGACACACCTACATCAACTTTTGCGTGGCAAAGTTAATTCGACCACAAACACGTTCATTTACCTTTTTGCGGGGACATAGACACACAAATGCCAAAAACACATCGGACAAGTTGAAATCCAGTTAAAATAGAGAAAATTTGATCATGTTTTCAGTAGCTTTCCTACGAAAGTTAAGAAGGGAAAACTAATAAAATTGTTTATTTGACATATGTTCCCATAGATAATTTGTTGTTTGGTTTTCGTTTTTAGATTTAGTTTTTGATGTGAGACGGTAAAATTGTTTTAACAATGTTGTGAGCTTAAGGATGTATTTGCTTTAATTTTTTTAAATTTTAATATGTTTTTGGAAAAATCTTCAATAATTTATTCAAGTCTTTTACAGTAACTTTACGTATTTACGGTTTGCTTGCATAAAAGTATGTAATTCTCTGGAATCAATCAGTATATGTTTATTGTAGTCTCATGCAAATCTCTCACAAAGTTCTTTTGAAAAGATATATAAAACGAGATAGACTGCTGTTAAAATCAAGTTATGACGCATTTTTTAATATTCCAAAAGCCGTGCCATTATTTGAAAATGTGCGCAATTTGCTAATCAATCCGAGTTTGCGGGGCTATAAAAGAGACCTGTACTAAGCGATTTGCAAATTAGTCGTTGAAATCCAATCGCAATATGAAGCTGCTCTCGATCGCCTTTCTTTTGGGTCTGTTGGCTCTGGCCAGTGGTAAGTGAAAGGACACACAATATTATCCGGATTGAAAGCCAAGTTAAAACCTTCTTTTCTTTATTTTAGCCACTCCTCTTAATCCCGGCAATGTGATCATCAACGGGGACTGCCGAGTTTGCAATGTTCGCGGCGATTAAAACTAATAACTTAAGCTTGATTGTTGATTATTATGAAATAAAATAAGATCATTTGTACAGTTAAATTTAGTGTGATTTATTTTTCGGGTAATACAATTTTACATTCTTTAAAAAATCCTAAAGTGTGCTAAATATTTTGAAAAAAAATTTCTCCTTTACTTTTTTAAAAAAGCCTTACTTTATATAGTAAAGGCTTGACCCATTTGACTTGAATTTTTAATAAACATTCATTGGCTATGAAATTTTGGACTTAAATTTTGAATAAACATTCTTTTTCTATGAAATTTAAAGATTTTATTTTGTTGTAGAAATGGGTTACTTTTAGCCTCCATGCACATTACAACTTTTACAATCTCCATTTATAACAACGTCACCGGGGGTCAGTGGGGAAGCTATTGGAATAAGAAAATAAACAAAGTTGTAGACTTGAGTTGTAGATTTGATTTTAGGGTTACTCACCCATAGCTACAGCCAACAGACCAAATAAAAACACCAAAGAAATCCACTTCATTCTGTTAGCAGCGGTTCAACTTCAACTGAGGCAATGAATATTCAAAGTCTTCTTTTATAGGAACCCTTCAAGCTAAATTTTAAAAATTATTGGAAATTCCTGGAAATTGTAGTATAGAATTACAGGTCGAAGGTGTTAATCGGAAATTTCCCTGAAATGAGGTATACTTATTTACAGAGCCGATAACTAGAACAAATCAAATAATTTACAAAAAGCAGAATGAAAGTGCTGAAGCGTATATGGTATACCCTTGCAGTCATAAAAAAATGTTCAGCAAAATGCATAAAGACTAAACAGCAGCATCGAAGATATGGCGATTTTTTAGTCATTTTCTATATTTTTACGATAATTTCCATGGAAGATAACTCTATATTTAGAAATAGTGCGTGTATGATAAAAAATCAACCATGTTAAATTTTCGTTCCATTCTTTTTTTTCGATTTTTATATATATTTTATGATATATATCATGAAAATCATCCGACTTTACTGTAATTCAATTCTTAAAAAGGTCTTAGAAAACATCACTAAAAAAAAAAATCATTTCAGTATGATAAAAATCAACGTTTTTGGTGTTTATGTTGATCAAGAATGTATTAATTTTATGGGGCATGAGGTGTCTGCTTTACTGCGAAATCTCACTGAAATTATAATACTCTCTGCAAGGGTATACAATCGAGGATCTTATATTTCACCTTTGTATATAGAAAAAAAGAAAACAAATCGGGCAATATTCGGTTCAACTTTTTGTTATATTTAAAGAAATGTTTCAAATAAACAAGCATAAAAAAAACATATACATATGGGTGATTCCATATCAGATTTACAGTCGATATCGGGAAATTCGATGAGATATTTTTTTCATGCTCTTTATCGAAAATAAATCGACACGTATTTTTTATTTGGCTCAGAAAATTTTTTTGACAAAGTTATGATTTTTTGAATTTTTGATGAACTGCCCTTTTTTTTGATGACAGTCGCGTTTTCCAGCCCCAATAACTCGAAAACCGTACGTCGCAGAAAAAAAATGAATAGGAAGTAAAAATTTCATCCTTCCTTCTTCTTTGCAAAACTTTCGTGAAAAAATTTTTTTAACAATTTTTCACCACAAAAAGTTCAAATGTTTATAACAAATTCATTTTTCTCCAACTTGGACATTTTTGATTTTTTTTTTTTTTTCACAATAAATCCTTCAATTTCTTCTGATGAACATACTAAAATTTCAGAATGGGATCAAAATTAGTTTTTGAGTTATAGAATTAAATAGCATTAAAAATTCATTTTTTTGACCCTTACTATGCGCGCGCGAAGCGAATTGACACGCGGACCGTGCATGATAATCTTTAAAATTCTATAACTCAAAAACTAATTTTGATCCCATTCTGAAATTTTAGTATGTTCATCAGAAGAAATTGAAGGATTTATTGTGAAAAAAAAAAAAAAAATCAAAAATGTCCAAGTTGGAGAAAAATGAATTTGTTATAAACATTTGAACTTTTTGTGGTGAAAAATTGTTTAAAAAATTTTTTCACGAAAGTTTTGCAAAGAAGAAGGAAGGATGAAATTTTTACTTCCTATAGATTTTTTTCCTGCGACGTACGGTTTTCGAGTTATTGGGGCTGGAAAACGCGACTGTCATCAAAAAAAGGGCAGTTCATCAAAAATTCAAAAAATCATAACTTTGTCAAAAAAATTTTCTGAGCCAAATAAAAAATACGTGTCGATTTATTTTCGATAAAGAGCATGAAAAAATATCTCATCGAATTTCCCAATATCGACTGTAAATCTGATATGGAATCACCCATATATATCTCTTGCCAAAGACGGAAAAAATGTATGAATTAATTTATTATTGGAAAAAATTCGGACTATTATCGAAGCATTTATAAAAAAAAAATAGTAACATCTTAAAAGGTGCATAAAATATATTATTTTTAATCACTCAAAATCGGCACTTTCTTAAAGCCTTTTGTATAGGTTTTTCTTGGTATTTTTCCAAACCAAAGCGCCAACAAAATTTATCTTTAAGCATTAGGTGCAGTACTTGGCAGATTTTAAAACTTTAAAAGATAGGGAGGCAGTTGAACAGACTATACTGGGTCCAAAGAATATGTATATCAACCTAATACCATTTTGTTTTTAGTTTATAATGTTAATTGTTAAAAAATAAATAACACGAGATTTACGTGAACCTTTGATTTTTATTTAAAAATTAACTAAATAGTTAATGAACCAATTAATTGATAAATAATTCCAAAAATAATAGCTCCAGATGTCAGAGAGTAGGACATAGAACCAGATTGACCTGCCATGGGCATTACTATGTCATCATCATTTTCGGGCTTATTGCAGTCAATGCACTTCCCGTTAATATAGACTTTTCCTGGTGTGGCTATAAATAAAAAATTTAAATAACATTTATATATTTTTATATAGCTATAGTACTTACCGTTAACCGCAACCAACAGGCAACAGAGGAGCATCAAAGCACCGGCGATTTGGATCGAATTCATGTTTGACTTAGGGATTACGAATAACTCTGAACGAGAAAGCTCGAGTGCCCTGCTCTTTATATGGAATCAGTGTATAGTATTCCTCAGATTAAACAGGCATGTACAGTGTAACCTCAAGAAACAGAACAGATTGTGAGCTGATTGATAATAACGCTTTAATGTTTGCTGCACTCGATTAGTACTGCACTTTTCTGTAAACTGTTTTAAATAGTGGGAAAAACCTATATACTATGAAAGAAGATTAAAAAAACCCATATAATTAAATAAATTGCATAGGTTTACTTTGAGAAATGTTTTAATTAAACAGATTATTATTTCGAATTTTCACTACATTTTTTATGACTTAAAAATATTTGGCTGTGCGAACTTCAACTGGCTTGTGTTTGTGTTCCTTCATCTCAGCTTTTGTTTAAGCCCTCACATTGCAGACGCGGCAGTCGCCGTTGATAATGACATTGCCAGGATTCAGGGGGGTGGCTAAATGGGCAAACATTGACAATATAAATAAAATACAGTTCTCAAATAGTTTTATTTAATTTACTTACCGTTGGCCAGAGCCAGCAGACCCAAAACAAAGGCAAGCGACAGGAATTTCATGTTGTTGGTTTTGTGGTTTGTTGTTGCGGTTGAAGCAAGAGGATTTTCAGAAGACAACTGATGCTGTTGGCAGAGGAATCGACTGCTTATATAGCCCTAGACCTGAGTGAATAGGGCAAAAGCGGTCTGTCTTATCAAGTTGGCTGTAGCGACACCGGGAAAAGTCTGGTCAAGATTGGGGCTCACCCAGAACGAATCGCTCACATCAGAAAATCCCAATGCAGTAGTGCGATGTTCTCAATGAAACTGAGCGTAAACAAGTGCAGAGTGATAACCCGAGCTGCGAGATTGGCAAAAAGGGAAATCCAAGCTCGTTCGGAGCGAGACTCTGTTCACGTGCGCTGACCAGATTGCAAACCTGATTTCAATCCACTTGGCGCCCCTGCGATCTTTTCCAAGTATTTGCGACCTGTTCAACGTGTTCAATTCTGTCGAATCAATTACGCAAAACCTCTAAATTAACACCGGGTTTATTAGCTAGAATTCTGTCTTGGGACTGTTGGTAAGTTGGAAAGACTCTGGCTTGTCAAGGGATTCTCTAGGGACTCAACAATTGGTTACTCTTTAAAAAATTAAAATATTGTTTGTATGAACAGATAAATGGAACAACATTTAATTTTTGTAATGTCTTTTAAGTAAGCCGATCATATAATTTGCTAATGTACTTAACGCACGCACAGAAATTCTACTTTTCTTCAATTTATTTACAGTGTATTAAATGTAAAAACAACTACTTTTTTATATAACAAATTAAAGTTCATATTTTTAATCAACAGGTGAGGAAACAAATGGAAGGACGTTTCAACTCATTAAGGAAATAATATGTGTATACTTAATACGGTCGCAATGTCTCCCACAAAGCATTACAAATTCCTTATCACAATTCTCAGACTTACTAATAATGGTTTTCAGTTCCAATGCGCTTCTGGAGCTTAAGATTTATTTAAGACACAATACAATAACTAACTAAAAAAGTTTGATTATTACGTTATAAAGTACAAACAACTATCAGATACTTTTAACTAAGATGACCAATTCTTAAAAGCGCGAAAAATTAATGAATAATATAATATAAATATGTTATTATTTTGAATCGATTTTTCTATGCTACGTTTTGAATCCCAATAAATTCCTGATGGTCAAACTGACATTATTAGATGATGTTATATAAGTTTTATTTTAGTCAAGAACATATTTATTTTATATGGTCTCAAGTGCTTTCTTCTTTATGTGACAAACCTTTCAATAAATGCGGTATACCCTTTCATTCCAACAGTAATGTTTATAAAAAGTAAACAACTTTGTGTCTGAGATTACTAAAAAGATACGTGGTTTTGTCTTTCATGCAAATTATCACCTGCATTTTCTTAAAAGGCAACAGTGCGAATGTGCAATGTGTCAGTGTAAACTAAAACTAATACAAGTTGTAAACTAAATTACAATCCAAAAAATAAACCATTAAGTCCAAGCTTTTTCATAAAGATCAATGTGTTATTTTCTGTAAATCAATTTTTATTCGAAGAACTTGTTATCATCGAATTAAAAAACCAAATATTATTCTTTAAGTAAAAATAAACAATATAGATTCAGGTGTTTTTCATTTTTATTTTTGTCTTTGTATGGTTGTCATTTTTCTAAATCCTAGGTCTAATTTTTGTACAAGACGATTATCTGAATGATGTCTGGTGAACTTGAGGTAAGTTATGGCCTTGTGTTGATCCTCGGGCAAAAACCTTGTCTACTTGCCACCGTGAACATTGCAGTATTTGCAGTCGCCGTTGATAACAACATTTCCTGGATCGGGCGACAAGGGGACGGCTGTTGGGAATAAACAACAAATTAATGAATTAATTTAGCGATCTATTAACGAATAGACTTCACTCACCGTTGGCGAGAGCCAGCAGACCGAGAACAAAGACGGTGACGACTGAGAAGAATTTCATATTGATTCTGGATTGGTGGACTTGTGGATCCGGTTTTGGTGCTAAATGCGCTGTGCAATTGATTGGACTCAACTGATGCTCTCTGCTTGGCAGACCTGAGTTTATATAGCTGATTGCCGGCTCGTCGTAGAACGACTCAAGTGCAATGGGCCGACGAAAGGTTTTTGATAACCCTCGGCGTATGTGGCGCGTTTGGGAAAACACAGAAAGTTTAGACCTCCCCGTTATTGTCCGCTCAATAGCACTTTGTTTTTGCGTATTTAAATCTGGAAATTCCAGTCCAGTGTTTACGGGGAAGCAGATAAGTGTGCTAACTGGGTAGAAACCAAATTGGCCAGAGTCTACGACCGCAAGTATACAGATGTATTTCATTTTTCCATCTACCAGATAAAAGTCTTTAAAGCTTTATGTTTTTGTTTACGATTAAATTTGGTGTTATTTACCTTTAGTTTGTTCCTATAATTTGCTGCTCAAATAAAATCGAACACTGGGTCATAATAACATACAATATATGCATTTATTTTTCTAAATCGAAATGTGTTTAGAAATTGTCAGCACGTGCAGACAATTTTTAAGTAGCACCAAGTGAACAGTAAAATAAAATCAAATCGAAAAATATATGTTTTTAAGTAATATTCCAATTTAACTTGTATATATTTTATTTTCTTGTAAAATATATTATTATTAATTAATCAACTATTTATTATGTGAAAATCAAAATGGAGTCTCCTTCAATTTTAGCTCAAAATATTTTATCCAATATATACCTAATATTGGCCATTTAATATGAACAAAGTAAACGTTTCCATTTATTATAGTCATTCAACTTTTATTATTTAAAGTAATTAGTAATCTAATAGTTTCCTTGAATCTTTTATTGCAACAACAGTCAAGAGTTCAGCTTTGTCTCAAAATAGAGAAAATCATTGGCCTTACATATACCTAATATTACCCTTGAGTTGTTTAATATGCACTTGTATATATATACTATAGATTGTAGATTATAAATCGGAGCTAATCGGGACGGGTATAAAAGAAGGTGCCTGTGATCGAACAGGTTAGAGAGCCGCATAATGAAGTGCCTGACGCTATTTGCGCTTTTGTTCTTGGCAACGTTGGCCTTTGTGAGCGGTTAGTTCTGAAACTTAAGGGTTTCGCCCACAATATTAATTGCTTTTCATCCACAGCCGGCAAGGTCATGATCAACGGCAAGTGTGTAAACTGCTCCACCGACAAAACCACAACCTCCACCGCCACAACCACCCACAAACCTTCGACTGGCAAAGGAGGTGGTGGCAGGACCACTGCCAAGCCCAAGTCGAAATCCACTCCAGCCCGCAGGCAATCTTCCTCGGAGGAGGATGACGATGATGACCTTGGTGGCAGCTGGTCACTTCATCAATCTGGGGGATCGCAGTACATAGGAAGGCGTTCGAAGCGCCAAGGGGGTCAGTACATTGATCTCGGAAGAGGAGGAGGAGGTGGATGGTCAGGAGGTGGCGTCACCACCATCGATTCCCGTCCCTATCCCGGAGGAACCTTGGTGCGGAACAGTGACTGCGTCGGCTGTAACATTCGTGGTTAAATCACCAAATTAAATTACAAAATAAACGTTCAATAAAACATTTTTAAAAGAAAAACCAATACACATAGTATATAATATAGGTAATATATATTCCTTATCAGCAATTTCAAATCAGGCTATGTAAACATGCATTGCGTTTCATAAGATTTAAGGTGAATAATAAGTATTATATTTATGGAAATATTTTATTTTTTTCGTTACAACTTGATTGATAGCAAACTGATTTTGGTACTTTTATAATTATTAAAACCCTCAAACAATGAATACATTTCTCACGTTTGTGTAGGTAGGAAAGCGTTTTTTATTTTTTAATTTGTTTTTGTTTACATTTTATTTAAAACCTATGTTAAATTCTAGTGCAACATTATTAACATTTGCATTATGAACTGATTTCACTTATAAAATCCAAAACATTCAGGCCAAAAATCATATTTTAGTCTCCTCGAACATTGCAGTACTTGCAGTCGCCGTTGATAATCACATTTCCAGGATCGGGCGACAAGGGGGAAGCTATATGATATATGATATATGATTAATAAAATAACCAAGTAAGAAAACATATAATTAGTACTTACCGTTGGCAATAGCCAGCAAACCGAGCACAAACACGGTGACGACTGAGAAGAACTTCATATTGACTCTGGTATAGATTGAAATAGACGACTGGGTGAACTGGGCACTTGATTGGATCCAACTGATGCACTCGACTGGCGGTACCTGATTTTTATAGTAGAGAGTAGGCGACAGATCAGATTAAAAAAGACTCAAGAGCTAGGAGAGGATGTGACGCCATATTGACGCGCTGATAACCCTCGACCGAAAATAATCACCAATTGTTTTGCAAACGCTTTTTACCTTTTCATGTTATTGCATATATTGCAGATATTATGTTAAATTAAAAAATTAATGTTATTATCGATTTAAGACATAAATATTGATCAAATCAATTTCGTAACTGCAATTTTATATTAATATACCATACATTAATAAGAAAAAATCAAAATTAATATTATACAACAGAGCTGAAATAACAATGTTAAGTGGAGTAATATGAATCGGATTACAAACATATAATTGATAATACAATTTCAAATTAATATTATAGCACCACATTGCTATTACAATTGTTATCATCATCATCAATTGATAACTAATCTTACAAATATCAAAGTAATATAAGCAAGTCAGCAATTTTTAAACATAAAAAAATTTCTAGAATAGTAATAAGATACATAATTGATATGTGTAGTTGATAGTGAAAGAATTGATCATTTTCATTACTTATAAATCAAAAATTATTTGAATATTATAATATATAAAAAATGTATACATATAACTAAATGTTAAAAATTATAAAAAAAGTATAAATATTATTTTAATTTAATCTGTGCGATTTTGCGATCTTTGAAACACAAACGTTTGTTTTTTTTACTTTTTAGCAAACAAAGCTCTCTACAAAAGGTGAAATGCAAGTCAAGAAATCAATTCAAACACATCAACACATTGTTCAGTATTTTGACAAAATATACACAGACATACTTTTGTTTATTTTCTAGCTAAATAAGATCACAACAAAAGCTTGAGTTTGGTGGCTTCTGGAATTCCCCCAGCGTGGAATTACCAGTCAATTGAACTGGTTTCAGGTTAAATCTTTCGCCTTCCCGCCTTTTGTTTTGAGTCCGCTGCAATCTGCGTTCAATAACAAAGCGAGCGAGAACGCTTAAAAGCTTTCGGTTTTCGTGTGCCCCGAGCAGATTCATCTTTCACCCAGATCGAGAATGAAGTGCCTGATTCTGGCCATTGCAATTGCCGCTGTCCTGGTTTCCCAGGCCACAGGTGAGCACTTTATAGATTTATTTCAGCCGCACAATTCACCTGCTATTATTGTGCTCCACAGCTGGAAATGTGATTATCGGCGGCGTCTGCCGGGATTGCAGTCCGCCTGTGGCGGAAAACGTGGTGGTCGGTGGAAAAACCTACAGAACTGGCCGTCCGGGACAGGGAACCGTTTACATCAATTCCCCCGGCGCCTATCCAGGTGCCTTGGGTGGCCCAATCCACCGACCAGTGGCAGCTCCACCACGTATCGCTGTTGGAGGACCAGGAGGTGGCGTCCGGTATCCTGATGGGTACAGTGGTCGCCTGCCAGGAGGAACCTATCTGCACAACAAGGACTGCGTCGGCTGCAGCATCAGCGGGGGCGGTGACTGAAAATTAATAAAGTAATTATTTCATTAACAAGACTTTTCATTTATTTTTTATAATTGACAAGCAAAACAAAATGGCAAAAACAGTCGTGTTTATATGAAATGGGGCCCAACTTGTAAAAAATAAATGCATTTTAATTTTTCTCTTTATGCCTGAAACATGAAGAACTTATTTTGAAAATAATTTGAAAACTGAGAAATCTATATTGAAACAAGAAATGAAGCTAGCTTTGGAAAGGCTAAAAAACATTTATTAAGGCAGGTTCTTACCTTGTGGGGCCAAAAAATTGAAAAATTAATATTGCAAATATTAGCTTTTGAAAAAAATTACGATTTTCGCGTTTGTTTTCTCACTAATTATTTTCTAAAAAAAAACAGTTTTCAATATTTTTAGATAATCCTAGTTCATTAGATAAACGAAACAATTAGGAACATTTAAAAAAAAATTTAATGACGATTGGTTAATCCCAACGCCTTCAGTTTGGCCTCAGTTAACCGGTGCCCGACATGTGCTTCATGTAAAGGCTTGTAACTCTTGTAATTTATCAAACTTTGATCTGAAATTTTTTGAGCACATTTTTAAAACATATATCTATATGAAAAGCAGAAAAAATCGATTTTGTACCCATCAAGGTGAGAACCTGCTTTAAGTTTTTATATTTATGAAAGCTTTATGATTTAGTCGTCCGATTTTTAGGAAACTTAATTTGAAATTCAGGAGTCGTAAATCTAAAAATCATGATTGTCTGATGATAAACAACGATCCTATCATTTTATTTTCCTGAATATATATTTCGATATATATAGATTTCTCAATCTTTCCTATGACAGCTATATAATATAGTTGTCCGATTCTTAAGATATTTTTTTTTTGATCAAGGATAGTTACAAAATTGGATGTTCTAAAAATCATGGTCGTAGGATACAACGACATAATCATTTTTTCCTTTTTTTTTATATATATATGGCTATACGATATAGTTATCTGATTTTGATTAAATTTAATTCGAAATTAAAATGTAGTTAGAATTACAATTTGGAAGATATCAAGAAAAAAATAGCTTTATTTCATGTTTATAACAAAAATGTGCTGTTATCCGCTGATCGTGTAAAACAAAATAGACTTCATAGCACATGCATTGGTTTTTTTTTATTTTAATACATTTATTCAACGGATAAAAATACTATACATTTTCCGAACAATGGGCTAAATAAATCAACATTTTTTTTTTATTAAATCCAAACAAAACACTGCAAAATGAATGTACACAGGAAATATAAATACAACATACATTCCATATATTCCATGTATTTCTATGATATTATAATTTCAGTCGAAAGTTGTCAAAGGAGTAAAGGAGACCCCACACAGTACATATATTCTTGATCAGCATCACCATCTGAATCATTCATCCCCGTCATAGGAGTAATCTTCACCTTGTCCGCCTTTATCACTTCCGCCTTTATTCATAATGCAAGGGGACAAGGGGTAAGCTAAGTAATAATATAGGATTAATAATATGTATAACCAAGTAGGCTACTAAACAATTTATTACTTACCGTTGCCAATAGCCAGCAAACTGAGCACAAATACGATAATAACTGCGAAGAACTTCATGGTAAATCCGGAATAGACGAATAAGATTCAACTGATGCATTCGAATGGCGGTACCTGGTCTTTTATACCCCTGAGTAGGTAAGAGATCAAATAAAAAAAAATAGAGCTTTTACAAGATGTGACGCCATATTGGCGCGCTGATAACCCTCGACCGAAATATAATTACCAATGGCAATCTGTCAAAAATTCGCACCGAAGAAAAATCAACAATAAATTAAACAAGAAAATAAGCTTATACATATACCCTTGCATAAAAACATCAAAGCTCTTTCGATTTTTCTATACATTTCCCATATTTTCGACTATTGTTCATATGGCAGCTATATCATATAGTTGTCCGATTTTGATCAAATTTAATTTGTAATTCAAGAGTCGTTCGAAAACTCCATATTCCTAAAATGGTGCTTGTCTGATGAAGAACAACGATGCTATAATTTTATTCCCGTTATTTCTATATACATTTTTCTATCTTTCCTATGATAGCTATATGATAACGTTGTCGGATTTTAATGCAATTTTTTTCTCGATTCAAGGGTTATTAAAAAGATCCATGTTTTGAAATGCATGCCCATGGGGTTAAAAACAACGACGTTACATTGTTTTTCCATTGTTTATATATATATTTTTCAATCTTTCCTATGGCAGCTATATGAAAGAGTTATCCGATTTTGATAAAATTTAATCCGAAATTCAATAGTAGTTAGAAAACGCCATCTGAAAGAAATCAAGTCGATCTGATCAAAAACAACTACACAACTTTTTTTTTGTAAGGTTTCAGCAAGATACATAGCTTTTAAACTGAGAGACTAGTTTGAAGAGAAACAAACGGACAGACGTACAGACGTATTTCGATTCAGATGGTGTTGCTGATCAAGAATATACATACTTTATGGGGTCTGAGGTGTCTCCTTCACTGCGTTGCAAACTTCTGACTGAAATTATAAATTATTATTTTTATTATATTTTTATTATAATATTTTTATTATAATAATAAAAATGGGACGACTATATCATATAGCTATCATATGGGTATAGCTTCGATGTTGTTTAGCCTTTATGTATATGGTTCGATATATTTGATGTCTGCAAGGGTATATAAGCTTCAGCTGGCCATGGCTATGCGCAGATATCGTAAAACACAACAGCTTCATAGCACTTATATATTGGTTTGTTTTTATTTAAATTCATTTTTATTTAAATTCATTCAAGGGGGTGATTAAATCAACATTTGGTTTGTTGATCCAGGACATTTAAAACACTGTAAATTAAATGTATATGGAAATAGAAAATTAATATATATTCCATAAATTCTATTAATTTCTGTAGTATTATTTATATTATAATTTCATTCATCATCGTAATAGAGTTCTTCACCAGGGCCTCCTGAATTAAAAAAATTGCAGTATTTGCAGTCACGTCCTATTTGTATTCTATTGGGATCAGGCAAAGGAGCGGCTAATTAATAGTATAAGATTTATAATAAATGGAAGTAGGCAACTCAATAAATTTTTACCTACCGTTGGCAATAGCCAGCAAACTGAGCACAAACACGGTGACGACCAAGAAGAACTTCATATTGAATATGGTACAGATTGAAACAGACGACTGGGTGAACGGGGCCCTTGCTTGGATCCAACTGATGCACTCGACTGACGATACCTGATTTTTTATAGTAGAGATTAGGCAACAGATCAGATTAAAAAAGACTCAAGAGCTATGAAAGGATGTGACGCCATATTGACGCGCTGATAACCCTCGACCTCGATTTGTAAAGGCTTTTTACCTTTTTTTTAAATTAAATTAAGTCTGCTTTTATATGATGTTACTGCTTATGCAAATTATTGTGATTGTAGATTTAAGATATAATTATTGAACAAATCAATTTCGTAACTGCGATTTAATATCAATATACCATACATTTATAATAAAATATAAAATTAAATTTATAATATAGAGCTGAAATAACAATGCTAAGTGGAGTAATATGAATCGGATATAACAAACATTTAATTAATATTACAATGCCAAATTAAACTTATAACACCAAATTGCTATTACAATTGATATCATAATCATCAATTGATAATTAATCTTACAAGTATCAAATTAATGTGAGTAAGCTATGTATATCATTTTTACTATCAATTATTACTAGAATATTAAATATATAATTGTTGATGATGAAAGAATAGATAATTTAAATTACTTAGATATCTAAAATTACTAGAATATTACAATATGTATATAAAAAATATACATTACTAAGAGTTAACAAATTATAAAAAAAAAAATAAATAAAATTTGAAACACAAACGTTTGTTTATTACTTTTTAGCAATCAAAGCTCTCGACAAAAGGTGAAATGCAAGTCAAGAAATCAATTCAAAAACATCAACACAATGCTTAGTGTTTTGCCTCGAGCAGATTCATCTTTCACCCAGATCGAAAATGAAGTGCCAGATTTTGGCCTTTGCAATTGCCGATGTCCTGGTTTCCCAGGCCACAGGTGAGCATTTAATAGATTTATTTGAGCAGCAGAATTCACCTGCTATTATTGTGTTCCGCCGGTGGCGCAAAACGTGGTGGTCGCCTGCCAGGAGGAACCTATCTGCACAACAAGGACTGCGTCGGCTGCAGCATCAGCGGGGGCGGCGACTGAAGACGGCTCAGAAGATGACTTCAACCCCAACCCGACCCTATCCCGGAGGAACCTTGGTACATTCCAACATTCTTGGAACATTCCAACATTAACCACAACAATTAATTCCTTTTTTGATTGCAAGAATTTTTTTTATTGTAAATTTTTCTTTGATTTCATATTATTTGACAAAAAAGTTTAATCCTAGTGCAACATTGTAATCATTTGCTTTATGAACTGGTAAGCCTGAAAACCTCAATAGCATATTGGCCACAACTCATCTATTTGCCTCCACTGACATCGCAGTTCAGGCAGTCACCGTTGATTATTACATTTCCAGGATCGGGCGACAAGGGGGAAGCTAAGTAATAATATAGGATAAATAATTTATCCAAGTATGCAACCAAACAAATATTTACTTACCGTTGGCAATAGCCAGCAAACCGATCACAAACGCGGTAACGACTGCTAAGAACTTCATGGTAATTCTGGAATCGACGAATAGGATCCAACTGTTGCACCATATCAGGCGGCACCTGATATTTATACCCAAGAGTGGGTGACATATCAGATAAAGAAAACTAGAGCTTATAGAAGATGTGACGCCGTATTGGCGCGCTGATAACCCTCGACCGAAATATAATTAGCAATTGTTTTTTTTTTTGCTTATATTGTCTTCATTTTAGGGAAAACCCCAAATGCAACAGGTCAAAAAATTGCACCAAAGAAAAAACCAACAATAAATAATAACAAATTATTGTGATTAGCTTTTTCACGAAAACAAACAAAGTCATGAATAATCCATTAAATAATATACATATTAAGATATAAAAACTAGGTTAATGTGAAGCTTGCATGCAATTTGTGATATCAATTATCAATTTAAACTAAGAAGAATACATATGTAACAATATTTCATTCAAGTTATTTCTTATTTGTACTTAGTTTTTAAATATAACTGGAAAAATATTACTAATTAAAAAAAATTGGATTTACAAGATTACATAATTTATATTACTTTAATATAATATTTTTACAAATATTATATTTAACATCCATAAATGATCAAATTATAAAAAATACATATATAAGCGATCTTTGCGTTTTTATAATCTTTGCACAAACGTTTGTTTTTAATGTTTAGCTTAGAGAGATCACCACCTACGAAGGAGTCCTAAAAATATTTTGTATGTCAAAAAAAGATAAGAAATCAACTGCATCCACATGCATAAATCACAACATAACCTTGAGTGTTTAATGACTTCTGGAATTCCCCGATCGTGGAATTACCACTCAATTAATTTTGTTTGGGCTTTATCTCTCACCTTCCTATCTTTGGGTTTGAGATCGCTACAATATGCATTTGATAACAAGCTAACGAGACGGGTATGAAGCTTTCGTTTTTCGTGTGCCTCGAGCAGACTCATCTTTTACCCAGATCGAGAGTGAAGTGCCTGATTTTGGCCTTTGCATTTGGGGCTCTTCTGGTTTCCCAGGCCACAGGTAAGCTTGCGATGGATTTATTTCAACTGCACAATTCACCTGGCCGACCGGGACAGGGAACCGTCTACATCAACTCCCCCACCGCCTATCCAAATGCTTTGGAAGGGCCCATTCAGCAGCCGGGGGCAAGTCCACCACCTGCTTCAGCCAAAGTACTGGACGGTGGCTTCCAGTATCTTGATGGGTACAGTGGTCTCCTGCCAGGATCAGCGGGGGCGGCGACCGAAAACTGCAAATTACTAATTGCAATTGTAAACTGCTAATTACTTATTTGCAATTGTAAATTCTTTGGAGTTATTCCTATCTATCAAAGTTGCAATAAATTAAAATCTTACTTTTGACGTCAAATGTTTTTTTTTTTTTTTATATCGATTTTACCGATGTTAATTGTAAAATGGGCACCAAAAAAGTTTTAAGGTAAATAAGTTTCCACATTTAAAAATCCTGATATGCTGAATTTTTATTTAATTTGTTGGCCCTTCCTGTTCAAAAATGGATAACATTTTATTTCGCAAAAATTTTTATAAAGAGCACTCCTCTAGTTTTCCTAAACTTTCCATTTATTTTCTCATTTCTAGGGCAGTTACATGATGTATCAATTTTTGAAACGAATGGCTTAATGTTAAGCAACATGCTTGATATCGAACAATATCGAAGCTATGACGTTAAATACATTTTAAATACATTTAACGGATATCATATTTCAAATAGGCTGAATAAATCAACGTTTGGTTTTTTAATTCATGTCACTAAAATGCAAAATAAATGTATAATGGATATACAATATATATTTTATAAATATTCCATATGTTCTATTCATTTCTGTATTATTATTATTTCACTCAGAAGTTGTCAATGCAGCGAAGAAGACCCAATACTTGATCAGCAGCACCATCTGGAACAATCATCATCGTACTCTTCTTCACTTCTGCCTACAGTGATATGGCAGTTTATGCAGTTACCGTTTATATATATATTATCGGGATCTGGCATGGGGATGGCTAAGTAATAAAATAAGATTAATTATAAATTGAAGAAGGCAACTAAAAAGTTTTACTTACCGTTGGCAATAGCCAGCAAACTGAGCACAAACACTGCGAAGACTGCGAAGAACTTCATGGTAAATTCGGAACAGACGAATAGGATCGAATTGATGTACTCTAATGGCGGCACCTGATCTTTTATACCCAAGAGTAGGTGGCATATCAGATAAAGAAAACTAAAGCTTATAACGCCGATAACCCTCGACCGAAATATATTTACCAATTGTTTTTTTTTTCCTTATATTGTTTTCATTTTAGGGAAAATCCCAAATGCAATCAGTCAAAAATTAGCACCGAAGAAAAAACAACAATAAATAATAACAATTTATTGTGATTAGCTTTTTCACGAAAAAACATAGTCATGAATAATCCATTAAATAATATACATATTAAGATATAGAAACGAGATTAATGTAAAGCTTGTATGGAATTTGCATTACAAATATAAAATTAATATTAGTAGAATATACATATAATCAAAAGACAATGTCATATTGATATTTGTGATATCAATTAACAATTTAAACTTAGAAGAATATTTATGTAACAATATTTCATTCAAATTATTACTTATTTGTACTTAGTTTTTAAATATAACTAGAATATTATTACTATTTAAAAAAATTGTATTTACAAGATTACATAATTTACATTACTTTAATATAATATTTTAACAAATATTATATTTAACATCCATAAATGATCAAATTATAAAAAATACATATATAAGCGATCTTTCTGTTTTTATAATCTTTGCACAAACGTTTGTTTTTTATTTTTAGCTTAGAGAGATCACCACTTACGAAGGAGTGCTAAAAATATTTTGTGTGTCAACAATATGACGAAATGCAAGATAAGAAATCAACTGCATACACATGCATAAATGCGTTTATTTTCTAGCTTAATAAGATCACAACATAAGCTGGAGTGTTTAATGACTTCTGGAATTCCCCGATCGTGGAATTACCACTCAATTAATTTTGTTTGGGCTTTATCTCTCACCTTCCTGTCTTTGGGTTTGAGATCGCTACAATATGCATTTAAAGCTTTCGGTTTTCCTGTGCCTCGAGCAGACTCATCTTTTACCCAGATCGAGAATGAAGTGCCTGATTTTGGCCTTTGCAATTGCCGCTGTTCTAGTTTCCCAGGTCACAGGTAAGCTTGCGATGGATTTATTTCAACCGCACAATTCACCTGCTATTATTGTGATCCACAGCTGAAAATGTGATTTTCGGCGGAGTCTGCCGGGATTGCAGTCCGCCGGTTGCGGAAAACGTGGTGGTAGGTTGTGAAATCTACAGAACTGGCCGACCGGGACAGGGAACCGTCTACATCAACTCCCCCAGCGCCTATCCAAATGCTTTGGAAGGGCCCATTCAACAGCCGGTGGCAAGTCCACCACCTGCTTCAGCCAAAGTACTGGACGGCGGCGTCCGGTATCCTGATGGGTACAGTGGTCTCCTGCCTGAAGGAACCTACCTGCACAACGAGGACTGCGTCGGCTGCAGCATCAGCGGGGGCGGCGACCGAAAACTGCTAAATTCTAATTTGCAATTGTAAATTATATGGAGTTAGTTTGAGCTAGAGCATTCCTATCTATCAAAGTTGTTCGAAGCAAACATATAATGGGCTTCGTTGAGAGCTTACAATAAATTAAAAACTTACTTTTGACGTCCATGTATAAGTCTACATTGCAATGCATTGGCTTGGGTAAAGATATGCAGATAATGAAAAAAAAAACAAGAAAGGAAGCAAGCTTCGGCAAGCCGAAGCTTATATATCCTTGCGGTCATCAAATACGTCGAACTAAATACATAAAGGCTCGACTCTTGTTCATATGACAGCTATTTGATATAGTTGTCCGATTTTTATGAAGCTTAATTCGATGCCATAGGAAAGATCGAAAAATCTATTTAGAATTAAGGGAAATTAAATGATAACATCCTTGTTTTTCATCAGAAAGTTATGATTTTTGAAATATAGAGTTTTCTAACGACTCTTGAATAACGAATTGAAATTCATCAAAATTGGACGACTATATCATATAGCTGCCATATAAACAATAGTCGAAAATATATGCAAAATTAATAGAAAAAACGTTATAGCTTCGATGCTGTTTAGCCTTTATGTATTTTGTTCGACTGCAAGGGTATATACGCTTCGGCTTGCCGAAGCTAGCTGCCTGTCTTGTTTTTAATCATCTCTATTCTAAATGTTTAAGGTTTTTTGGTATTATATATATTAAGCTCTACCAGAAAGTACATAGAACATTTGGTCAGAATATTGATCGCTGAGAATCTAGCACAATAGGAGGAGGAGGAGACGGGTCAGGAGGTGGCATCACTAGCATCGATTCCCGTTCCTATCGCCTGTAACATTCGTGGTATATTTTAATTTTACCGATAAAAGTTAATTAAAATCGAACTGCATATAATTACATTCATAACTTTTTTAACTATGTAATTGTAAGATTTTTTTATTGGGATTTTTTCTTTGATTTCAATTTATTTCACACCAAAGTTGAAATCTAGTGCAACGTTATTAACATTTGCATTATGAACTAGTAAGCCTGTCAACCTCCAAAGCATTTTGGCCAGAACTCATCTATTTGCCTCCAGTGACATCGCAGTTCAGTTCACCGCTGATAATAACATTTCCAGGATCGGGCGACAAAGGGGTAGCTAAGTAATAATATAGAATAAATAATTTAACCAAGTATGCAACCAAACAAATATTTACTTACCGTTGGCAATAGCCAGCAAGCCGAGCACAAACACGGTAACGACTGCTAAGAACTTCATGGTAATTCTGGAATCGACAAATAGGATCCAACTGATGCACTCTTATGGCGGCTCCTGATCTTTTATACCCAAGAGTAGGTGACATATCAGATAAAAACTACTATAGCTTTCAGAAGATGTGACGCCTTATTGGCGCGCTGATAACCCGCGACCGAAATATAATTGCCAATTGTTTTTTTTTTTTTTTGCTTATATTGTTTTCATTTTAGGGAAAATTTCAAATGCAATCAGTCAAAAATTAACACCGAAGAAAAAACAACAATAAAAAATAACAATCGTATTGAAAAAAACAAAAATATCGTATTGATATTTGTGATATCAATTATCAATTTTAACTAAGTATAATATATAACTGATTTAACAATATTTCAGTTAAGCTACACCCATATGTGTGTATACTTTCTAGTTAAATCATATGCTATATTTTATATTATATGCTATTCTGCAAGATATTTTTATCGAAGAAACAAAAAGTTATGTTTGGATATAGTTTTAAATAAAAAGAAAATTAAATGCTTCGGAAAATCAAATCTATTTTAAGTTCAAGTTAATACTGTAGTGTTAATTTTATATGGTAAAATCGATTGGATATTATAAAATCATTTTGGTGTTGAAGACATATTCAGTTTCCTAACTTTTTGTGGTATACAAGAATACTTTAAATAATATGAATTCTAAATAAGAGCAAAGTGTTTTGTTTAAAATGTGTTTGTTTAAAATTTTTATTTTAATAATAATGATCACTTTTAATCGTATTTCTTAAAAATATGTAAGTTTTGTTTTTATTGTACCCTATAGGGCAGTGTTTCCCAAACTTGTCGGGACCGCGACCCATCTACACAAAAAATTGAAAGATCTATATTGCAATTAGTACCCACCAAAAATCTACCCGCGACCCACCAGTGCACTGCAGTGGGTCGCGACCCACACTTAGGGAAATACTGCTATAGGGGATACATTTACATGATAATAATTCGAGTCTAAATACACATGCACTTGTTTTCTTATGTCCACCGATAAGACGATGGAAACGCAACAATTACAAAATAAATTAGATCTTGAAGTCAAATCTTTTAAAATTCTTTATTGTATGAATTTAAGTTGACTTCTACTACTTGGTCAAAATAACGAATACCCTCAATATTTCCTATAACGTCATTACTGGTTTTTACGCAGCTTTAATCATTAATATTTCTGAATGAATAAATTAAATTGTAAAGCTTGAATGTAGAAGCTTTCAAGCTGCATTGCCAGCGATCTGAACTCTCAGTTGTTTTGAATGGATTATCAAGAGTGGGGGTTTCAGAAAAACCCAACGTGTTTAAAGTACTCTAGGGTATTTTCTGCTATCTTGTTGTTACTCAACCCAAAGATTAATTGTTGCGTCTATATAAAACGTCTACTGAAGGGTTGATCTCAGTCAGTGTTTAGTCTCAATTGTCTCAACAATGAAGTGGATTTCGTTATTGTTTGCACTGCTGGTGCTTTTTACCATTACAAATTTTGGATCTGCTCGTAAGTTCAACAAATTTGTGGCACTATGAATTCATTCTATTATAAATATTTCTATCTCAGGAACTATTCCTAGAATAACTATTCGAAATGGCGATATTATTGTCCATGGAAACTGCCATGGATGCACTGCTCGAGCCTCAAAAAACTCAGCGTCTTTGAAAATTCAATTTACTCGAAGATGGTGAATTTGTGAATTGTAAATAAAATAACTCAACCAAGCCAAATATTTTAACTAATTTATTAACAAAAAAAATAATAAAAATATACAAAGTGAAAAGTTTCGTTTAAAAATTTAAAAAAAAGGATAAATAAAATATAAAAGTTAAGTGTATTAAAAATAGAACAACAAAAATGTGATAGAGTATATACCAGAAAAAAGTTATACTTTTAATAACCTTCCAAATGCAAACGAATACAGAATAAGCCATGTTTTCTCTTCGGCTGACTGCCCACCTGTGCCTTGCTTCACTGTACTAAATTAATAATAGCCAAATTGCAATGTTCTCGTAAATTTGTCGTAAACTCAAGCCTGGGTCGTAAATCATTCTTGGCCGGAGCGAGGTTCCGTTTCGGCTTCTGTTTTATGCCTCATTGGTGGAAATATTTCAACAAAAAGCATAAAAATTGCCATCATATTTGACTTTACCCGGGCCAGACCTCTTCGTACACGTGTTTTCCTCGTTTTTCCCAGCGGCAGCGGCATTTCCACGTACCGCTTTTCGCGTCCTGTGAGCCGTGTCCTTTGTGAGATGTTTTATTGCCAAAGAAAACCGAGCGAAGGCAAACCGCTGTGCGCCTGTAAATGACTCCCCAGGCACCTTTATATTGACTCGTAAAATTGCGACATTTAGTTGTATGTGTGTGTGTGTGTGAGGGGGGTAACCCAACCCCCCGTCCCCTTCTCTCCATTTTCCTGCCTTCTTTTCGAGGCTGAAGTCTCTCTGTTTTCGGAGGGGTTTCTCGGGGCTTTAAATTTGATTTTTATTTGTCCCGACCGTTGTTACCGGCAAACGATTTTTTTATGGTACAAAAAAATCTCCCCGCTCTCCTAGCCTTTGATTTCATTCAGCGGAAATTGAGTTTTGGCTAGAGAGAAAATTGTGGAAAACAATGTCAAGTTAAGCATGAAAAGAATCAAACACTTCATAGATTTCCTACCACCACCTTTTTTCTGGTGGCAAATAAGATTTGTCCTCGAACTTTCATTAATTCCGTTTGCAAGGTATCGGGAGATTAATTGAATTTTTCAAGTACCCAATCGAAAGCAGTCAATTTTCCATAATTAAATTCATTTCTTTTCGTTTGTACTCAATACATTGCGTATACGCACAGTTGCACATATAATTTTCTGTCTGCAGTTTCATTCTTTCATTTTAATGGTGTTTATTTGCTCATCCTCAGTGAAAGTGGGCTTATTTTATTTTTTCATTTTCATTTTCAAATTACTTGACCCGTAAAGAAATTTTAATGGTCAGAAAAAATTGTAGAAAGTCAGCAGAGCGTATATAATATAACGAACATAATTTGTTCAATAAAAGCAATGGACTGATGCATTCATAATGATTAACTTTTTTCTGCAAGCATTGGGGGCTTAAAATACTCCTTAAAAGTTGATATTATTTAAAGGTTTTATATTACTTATATTATATCTTAAATTGATAGCATTAAATTAAATACCCATTTAAATTGTATTTTGGAAAACAACAGACATGGTAAAATTCTTAATTTCAGTAACGATACAATTTAAACATTTAACATGAATGTTCTTTTAAATTGTCAACCAAATACAATTTTCCCTGCAACTGGTAAAGAAACCTAATTATGCACTCGAAATGCTGCACCCTTGGCGCAATTGCCAGAATATGCATTCAAATTTTGGCAAACACAGAATTTGCCTGCTACTTTCCTGCCATATTCGAGGGCATGGACATGTGGCCAATATGGCCACCATCGGCCCCCCGGAGGGGTTCAGAAAACAATTGCCCGGCCACGCCCCTGCAGCCGCCCACCATAATCCCCGCAGCCAGCGGGGCACATCCATCGTCCACCCACAAGGCCGATCAGCCGGTCATTCAATTTTGCAAGTACGAGTGCTCCGCCCTCGGGCGCCTGCATTATGCAGCTTACCTCGGACTGATTTCATTTTCGTAATTACCTCACCGACTCGGCCAAGGGCCCCTGTCCTTCTGCAGGTATCTGCAGTGAAAGAAATAGCTACAATTCGACTTACTTAATTTAAATAAGAAAAAACAAACTTTATGAAATTAAAATATTGTTTGTGTTTTAAAAAAAAACTATTTTGTAACTACTTCAATCTATAAAGTGTTAGCATTTCAAAAAGCAACGATAAAAAATATATCTTGAGTGTTTTAATAAAGGTTTTTGTTTTGTTCTTATATATAAAAAATCATTTAATATAACTCAGCAATTTTCCTCCGCGGGAACTGGAACCGGGAATACTTAAAGTAAAGTTCATCTGTTGAAATGCTGTTGATGTGGTTTGAAGATAAATTCCCAGGTTTTCTAATAATGAATAAATAAATAAAACCATGATTTTAAATTTGTTTAATAAAATCGAATGCCACAAATAGAAATTCCCAGATTTTATAATCTTAGTACAGTAGACTTGATAAAAAAACTGTTTGATTATTATAAAGAACATATTGTAAATATGATTTTAATTCAAAATGTGAAATAGCAAAATTTCAAGTATAATAGAACACCAAAATTATATTATGCCACTGTTACCTTTAAGACTTCATCCACCAAATATTTTCTTAAATATTTAAATAATTCAAGTGCTATACCAAAATGATGATGACTGCTTAGAAACACAAATAAATTCCTCGTTGTGTTAACAAATGTTGAAGTAGATTTCCCGAAACTTATTTCGCTCAGTGTTCTTCTCCCGTAATGGTTATCGACAGGTGGCGCAGTCCGGCTTTGGATGGGTGGAGCTGGCTTAACGAGTTGATTAAATGCTGTAATTGATGGAATTGCGAATGGGGATGCAAGGTGTAAATGATCGGCTTGGAATGCCGCCTGGATAAACATGTCATTGTCGTTAGACGACGACGACGACGCCGGTCGATTGGGTGAGCCCCAAAGTGATTTGCGATGGGTCCGGGCCATCGGTGGCCATCGAACGAACCCTTTTCATCCATTCCACATCGGACATCATCAGTGGGCATCAATCAGAGGAGCACCGGGAATGCGACCGTATTCATTTCATAAATATTTGCGGCCAGGGGTTGCGGGGCACGACTTCATAAAAGGGTCGCAGAAAAAGGCAAACGAGAGCGTGCTTGGGATAAAAAATGATTTAAAAATTGAAAGGATTATGGGCGAGCGGCAACGGAGCGCGTTAATGCTGATGGCCGGATGGTTGGAGGGTTGGAGGGTTGGATGGGTTCCCTCGGGTCGGATTTTGAATTTTGGGGCCGGGTCTGCTGGTATGTTGCTGGTGTCGCTGTCAGCCAAACACAACGGGGCTGAAATCAACGAAGATGCCAAACAGTCCCTCTGTTGTTGGCCAGCAATATAATTTGAACAGGAATGAAAAATAAACGAGCCGAACGAGACGTGATTTTTTGAGCCAGGAGAGAGCGGGCTGTACAAAAAAATATAACGCGTGCAGTTTTTTTACAAGTCAAACCAAACATGTGAACAAAATATTTTTTATTGCGGTTCACGAAACCGGAATAGAGACAAAAACTGTTTTTGGTAACAGAATGGAATGAACTGAAGTATCACCTGAAGTACAACAAAACGTTATTTATTAGCACAATGACATTGGTTGTTTATTTTTCAATGCCAAAAAAAACAATAATATGAACGATGAAAAGAAGAGAATAAAATATTACCTTGTTTTTTTGTAACATGTACCATAAATGTAAAATAAAAATAATACAATTTTGTTAAAAAAAAATATATATATTTCTAAGAAAACATTTAAACATTTTTTAAATGTTTCACCAAAGCACCGAATTTAAGCTTCTGTGTAGTTACGTTTTTGTTACGTTGAAACCATTCCAATTTGTCCACCCTCACCCCTTCTTTTACTCAACCACTTGCAGTAACGCCTTCTATTGAAACACTGAGAAAAACATAATTTATAATAATTGTGCATTAAATTAAAATACATCTTTGTTGGTGCGAAATTAGAGCCCTTAATTAGTTAATTCAAAATTAATTTTTTTTACATTTTTAGTTTATTTAAATACAAATATTTTCAACATATTAATATTGATATTGAACAAGAAACAACAAAAACTACTTTATTGTTCAAATTAAATATGTTCTGTATTTGTTGTATTTTCAATCGATTTTATTGAAAGCTTTGCACAAAAATAGTATTTATTCGCGACGTGATGTTTTATTTCCTTTTATTGTTATGAGGCAAATGATTAAAACAACGTTATAAAGCATTCTTTAATTCGTACAATCCCTTACTTTCTCTCAGTGTATTCACATGGGTGGGTTTTTGCCCAGCTTTGTCTGCCTGCTTTTCCTTCGCACCGGACTGAGCAGAACAACTTCTACGGCTGCTGCTGGCAGTTTGCACAACGATAAATGTTATAACTGAGCTGGGGATTTGCTGCTACTGTTGGGGACTTTGCGGAGTGGAAGTAGAAGTGGAACAGCTGGCGCTTTTCGGCTTGGACTCCGACTTGGACTTGGACTTGGACTGACAAAACTCAATTTATTGTCGGGCGCCGCGAGCAGAGAGGCAGAGGCTCCCTGCCGAATAAAGCTCCCCACCAGGACATTATCCATCTATCACATTTTCTGTGGCTCTCTTTCATTTGCCCTGTGGTTGTGTTTGTTCGCCTGGCATTTCGACATTTCCCCCCGCTTTCACATTTTCACATTTCCTCATCCACATCCACAACCACTTTCCCGACGGCAGGACTTTATGATGTCCATTCTCGCTTCTCGGCGTTGACTGCTGAAAATTGAAAATCATAATCGCATCAACTTTCTGCACCGAAAACTTTCCCCACAGTCTGCGGAAAAGTTGAATTTCTCTTCTCGACTTTCTCCCCATCCCCAAAAGTAGGCAATGTTCGGTGTCTGAATGCTAGAAAGATAATTTGTTGAGATTAGTTTTACAACACAATGCCTGCGAGGATGTGTGTCCTTACCAGCTCCTGTGTGTGTGTGTGTGTGTGTCCTGGTTAACCTTTGCTCATTGTGGTTGCCTTTTATCAGACAATCCCACATTTTGGGGGGCGTCGGTGGTGGGGCTTTGGTGGTTCTGGCCAACTTTCGTGCATA